TAATTTTCAGAATAATTGTATGGTTAATGATTTTTAGTAGATTTATTTACTTTATTTTTATTTTTATTTGTTTTTTACTAGGATTTTTATTTAAACTTTTATATAAATATTTTTAGAATAATATAAAATGTTACATATAAAAATGCTTATTTGTATATTCTGGATGCAATTTGTTCGTTTTTATTACTAATTTATATCCGTTTATCCATCAATATATCTATCTTATTAAGTTATATTTCAAAAATCTTATGGATATTATAATTTCTCGTAATTTAGTAACCCTAACCCTAACAAGATTTTGAAGTTGATCTATTTACAATTAGTAAATTGGAGTTTTATAAATTAAAAAAAAATTAAATGAGGGATATATATATATAGTAAGGAGAGGAAATTTAATAGGGATAGTTTTGTATTCCACAAATTTAGAGTTAAAAATACTGAAAATTTTTAAAATTGAAGTGAGATTTATATCTGATTTTCTGGTTGACATTCATGTTATCCGATGATGTTTATAATGTGTCAATCAAGGTGATTTCAATAATAGTTTCACCATGGATAATTATATTGATTTCTTCAATGTTTATATTTTCGCTTTATGTGTATGTGTTATATAAACAATTTTTCTTTTTAGTATAATGTTTTTAGATTTTATTATCGTCCAAGACTTTACTATTCATATCCGTCATATCCATCATCTCCAACTATATATTTTGTGCCTCCTTGGAAAAGAATTAGGGATTTTGATCGAAATCCCATACAATATCTTTTAATTGCAGTTTCTAAAACCTCTCGCTCAGGAATTATTTGGATTGATGTGGTTAAACCGTATACATGTCTTTCAATTATATTATCGTTAGAGTCATTTATGGGAAATCAATTTTTATCAATAGGTGAATCTATGTTATCTTGGGACGCTGCTTTACGTCGAAATTGGTCTCATATATTTAAGGATTCGAAGGATCTAAACAATATGGATAGTTTTGGCCGTAATTCACGTTTTTCAAAAGCAAGTAATATTTGTTTATCTCAAGCATTTTCTCCTCATCGTACAAATATTGGAGGATATTATTATTCATGTATTGCATCAGAGGCACTGGTTTCTTTAAGTCAAAATACATCAGATCCTGTAGATTTGAAAGGTTTTATTGATAATATTGTTATTAGAGCATTGATTTCTATTTTTTTTGGTTCTTATGAATCTGATTATGAACATATATTACGCCTTACTTGTACTATTCATAAATCATTGGATAAATCTCATTCTTATGATTCTAGTGCTTTAAAGGCTAAGAATGAATTTATAAAGGTTATTTCAAGGCTTTTAGTTAAGCGAACTAATGATCCTGAAACATATTCGAATGGTTCTGATTATGTTCAATGGCTATTAACTCATAGATCAGAAAGTGAATTACCTATTGATTCTACAATGTTTCATGCTAGCCTATTTGATTTTTCAGATAATAGTGACATTAATATAGAAAATCAAAAAAGTCAAAGTTTTTCGAAAATTTTAAGAGTAAATATACCTATTCATCTTTTAGTTTCATTGTTATCTACATGGATTATATGCACTAATAGTATTTTATGGGTAATTGTTAATCAATATCGTATTTCGGAAAAAGAAGTTCCTTTTGATCCAAACCCACTCTTTCTTGTGAGGCGTGCACAAAAAGATATTTTAATTGGTAAATTTTTGGTTCCGAAAGACACATATCTTTCTGTTTGCTCTTCTGTTAGCAATCTCAGTAGTTTTTTTATGAATAGATATGTTTCTCAAAGATTTTCTGTTAACAGTTCTGAAAATGATTTAAGATGTCAATCTTTAGATAATTTAAAAATGATTAATTCTGTAAATCAAAGTCAAGGAAATATTTCACTTTTTTCTCAAAACAATGGAGACAGTATACCAGAAAGCTCTAGTTCATCTACAAATTATTTTCAATCACGAGAAACAACATTTTCTAATTCTGCATCTGAAAGTAATCTTTCTGTATCAAATTTAAAATATGTTTCTGCTCCACTAGAATATCATCAAAATTTTAATAGGGGAATTAAAAATAGAATATATCCTCATCAGCATTTAATTAGGCTTATTATTACTACAGTATTGAATCATGTGGCATCAGCAGTCGTTATTAAGGATAAAATTACTAATGAGAAATTGAATGTATATTATACTGCAAGACACTTATGGTTTCCTATTCCGTCTCGACCTATTTTTGTTTCTATATTACCAGCTTCTTTTGTAACATCGAATATCAATCAAAAACATGATGCTTTTTTTTCAAAGTAATGGGGTTATTAAACTTAATATATACAATTCTATACGAGAATATTGGTATGTGAAAAAAATAATGATAATTATATAATTGGAAATTAAAATTTGGGCTGATTTTTTACATATATTATTTTGAATGCTTACAAAAAGTTTTTAATTATGAAATTCCGTAAAGACTAGAACTTTACTAATAATATTTTTATACTTGATTTCATAGATCAAAATTACTCTTATTATTATAATGCATTTTTTTTGGATTTTGGCATATTTAATTTTTGAAAGTATGGATTATTTGTATATAAAATATATTGTTTATTTCTACAAAGTATATTATTTGTTTCTATTAAGTATATAAAACTATGATTTTTGCTTGATAATATATATATCGTATATATTATAATTAGAATTTGTTTAAACATAATGCTTAATCTTTATAAATTTATTTTTTATTTTATTTTTAAAGAAATCTAATTACAATTTCATTTGATAAAATATTAAATATATCTACATATGTATATTTAATTCTTTATTATGATACAGAAATATTTAAAATCATTTAAATATATAAATATATTTGATATAGAAAAAAATTAAATTTTTGAATTAATTTTATGTACATATATGAATTAAGACATTTAAGTTTATTAAAAATTTTATTATATTTTGATGAAAACGGTTTAAAGTAAATTATAAAGAATTTATATTAAAGCGTTATATTTTGTATAAATTAACAATTTGTTTATTTTTGATATTTATAAGTCTTTAGAGTAAATAAAATAAATTATTAATTTTATTATTTATATTCTTTAAAATTTTTTATACATTTTAAAAAAATTGTTTTTTATATTTGTGATCTTAATTTTTAAATAGTTAATTAAAATATATTAATATTAAATAAATATATAAATTATTTGATTTAAACCTACTTTATTCGAATTTAAGTATTACTAAAAATATTATGTAATGATATATTTTCCTGAAGTAGTAGTGCAATTGTTTTTCAAAATCACAGGTATATATATATTATATACCGCGTAGATCTCTTAATAACTATTCATGTTAATTTATATTTTTAAATTAGTTAATCTTTAAAGTGCTTAAAAAATAGTATAAATATTGAAACGTGTAGGAATTTATATTTTGTTTTTACTAAACTGAAAGATACATTATTTTTTATTAATAATTTTTTCCAATTAAATTAAAAATAATGCCCTCAAACTATTCTGTTTTATAATTTTAATAAAAAAAATTGAAATGTATGGGAATAGAGTTGTTTTTTAAACCTTTATTGTAACATTTATGGGAATTGTATTATTTTTTTAATAATCGTTCTGGAATTTAAAGTGAATAAAACATTAGTATGTGTATTAGATTATATTTTATAAATATTCATACATTTTTTGTTTAATTTATTGTATTCTGTTTTATTTTTTTTGAAGTTAGGTTATTCATTTATTCTTGAAAAAACAAAAAATATTTTTGAATATATATTTAAATATTTAGAATAGATTTACTCTAGTAATTTATTTAAAACTTAATATTTGTAATATATTATCGTAATTAATATTCATGAAAATGCAACTAATATTTAAATATTAAGATATATCTAGTATCATTTTTATGTTTAAAAATTTAAATAAATATTTTTATTCAAAATAAATGTATTTTTCAATATTTATTTTTTTTAATTATACTATTGTTCATATATTACTAGTTCAAATATCATATATAATTCCTGCATTTCATAATTTTGATCCTATTTAACAATTTTATTCATTTTTTTGGCTTTTAATAAATAAATATATTATCTATATAGAAAAATGCAAAACTAAACATCCTAGATTCATAAATTATATCTCCTGGATTTATTTCAAATATTTTATATGTGATTAAATTTATAAAAATTGATAATTTAATAAAATTATTATATTCTTAAATAAATATTTAAATAACTTTAAGATTTTATTTACTCAATAATAAAAAATACTATTTTTCAATGATAAATTTTCCTATAAATTCTATTTTTGTTGATAATTTATATTTTTTCATAAATTCATTAAACATCATCTTTTAAAATTACGTGATAAGCATCTCAAATAGATTATAAAAATATGACAAAAAAATATGTTTCATGTCCTATATGTGGAAAAGATGTCAATATTGATTTAATAAATACTCATTTGGATAGGGCATGTGATACTCATGAAAAAAAAAATGTATGCTAAATACTATATTTTATAAAAGACATGCTAAAACGTAAAGTCTCTTTCTTTAGGTACAATTCAGCAAAAATTATATAATGAAGATTCCCTGAATAAGAAATCTTTTTCCCTCAATGAATATCCTAGGTATTCCAGAGATATTCCGTCTTCTCCATCTTTATCTAAAAGGAAGATACAAAACGAAGATGAATTATCTCCTAAGGAAGCTTCTTTAAAAAAAAGTAAAAATAATAGCAATTTTGAATTTCATCCTCCCCTTTCGGAAAGAGTTCGACCTGAAACACTTGATGACTTTATAGGCCAAGAAGATTTAATTGGAAAGCATGGTTTACTTAGAAAATTAATTGAAGATGACAAATTCCCTTCTTTTATATTATGGGGAGGCATGAAACATTTATTTTTTTCAGAAAAAAAAACTTATTTTTTTAGCATCTGGAGTAGGGAAGACCACATTAGCAAGAGTATTTTGAATATATATATATATATATATAAGTTTAGCTAGTTTAGATAATTTCAAAAACCACAAATAATCAGTTCAGGGAATTTTCTGCTACATCTAGTACTATATGTGATGTGAAAAGGGCTTTTGACGATGCAAAAAAAATGTTATCTTTGACAGGACGTAAAACAATTATATTTATAGATGAGATTCAACAATTTAATAAGGTTGTATATTTTCTTTAATATTTATAATAATTAATATTAGATGCAACAAAATGTCTTTTTACCTTATGTAGAAAAGGGAATAGTCATATTGTAAGTATTTAAATATTTTCTATTCAAATGCTTATTTATAAAGAATTGGTGCCACTACTGAGTGAGCTATTCTTTAGAATAAATTTTTGATTTTAAATATTTTACTAGAAACCCGAGTTTTAAGATAAACAACGCCTTACTTTCTCGATGTAGAGTATTTGTTTTACACAAGCTTTCTTCAGTGCATGTTTTTGAAATTCTGAAAAATGCTATATCAATAATTAAATTGTCTTCTGAAAATACAACTAATATCGATGATAATATTATAGAATACTTAGCAAATTTATCTGATGGTGATGGTAACATGCATTACTTTTTATTACTTTAATAATAATAATTTAAGCTCGCATTGCATTAAACACATTAGAAATAATATTAAATTTTAAAATTAAAGGGAATGATATCATTACAAAAGAAGATGTAAGGAATATTTTGAAAAGAACTTCTTTTGTTTATGACCGTGTTGGAGATTCTCATTATGATACTATATCTGGTATTTTAGTATGATTTATTTCTTTATATTAATTATTATTAGCATTTCATAAGAGTATTCGCGGTTCTGATGCTAATGCAGCGTTATATTATCTTGGAAGAATGCTTCTTGGAGGCGAAGATCCTCTTTATATTGCTCGTAGAATGGTATTTTCCTCTATAATTCTATTCTTTTTACCTTTTTTTTAGATTCGTATTGCTTCAGAAGATATTGGGACTGTAAGTTTTATAAAATAAGGATTTACTTAATTTAGATAGAATAGTCTGATAATAATGCTCTTATTCTTGCAATATCAACTTATCAGGCTGTTCAATTCGTAGGAATGCCAGAAGCTGATGTTTTTTTAGGTTATTATTATCATTATTATCATTGTCATTCTGATCTTTGTTAGCTCATGCTGCAATTTATTTAGCTGAAGCGAAGAAATCTAATAGGATCTATTCAGCCTTAAATAATGTTAAGCACGTTCTTAAAACAGAAGATGGCGCTTTCGCTGCCGAAATTCCATTGTAATTGCTTTAATAATTATTTATATCTAATATTCATAGGCATATTCGCAATTGCCCTACAAAATTAATGAGTGAACTTGGATATGGTGTAGGTTATAAATATAATCATCTTTATAAGGATGGAAAAGTAAAACAAGAAGTATGAGTATTGTTAAATGATTTTAGTTAATTATTTTAGTATCTTCCTTCTACATTAAAGACTAGAATATTTTTAGATACAGATGAAGAAATGATTTCAGATCCAGAATTAATAGAATAATTTTTATTTTAGTTATTTAGGATTTTCATTAAAAATATTTTATACTAAATACTTTTTTTAAAAGATATATAACTAGGTATTTTTGCTTCTACAATTTATATTTCTAACTTATAACAAATATTACAAGGTTATCTAAAGTTCTTGTAAATCTTTAAAAATATACGTTTTTATATATTTTTTTATTCGATTCATTTGCAAAAATCATGTGATTTAACACTTTGTTTTTATTTTTTTCGATTACTTTAAAAATATCAATAATAAATTTTAAACAATAAAGAATTTATCGGGATCTTTTCAAAGTTATCTTTTAGATGGCTTGTCTGTTTGGTACCCTTTATGTTCGTAAAAAAGGTACTGAAGAAGAGTATGCACATTTTCCAATCACGAAAAGATTAAATACTTTTGGAAGGTAAATTTTTATTACAAAAAAAGATAAATTTAATTGTGTTTTAAGGCATTTGTCTTGTGATGTCAGATTATATGACGAAGTTATTTCTCGTCAACATGCTCGTCTTGAAATTGATGATGATGGAAATGTAAATTTTCTGTATCTTTGTTAAAAAAATTTTATTTTTAAACTAGGCGTTTTTAGAAAATCTGAGTGTCAATGGCACATTTGTTAACAATAACGAACTAGATACTTCTGAAAATAGAAAGTTTCGATTAAATACGGGTGATATTATTAGTTTTTCTGGTCATAAATTTCGATGGGAATATCCAACAAATGAAAAAAAAGAGGAGCAAGTGGTAATAAATGTAGGATAGATATATTTTTTTGAGAGATTATATTAATTTGTGAAGACTCCTGAATTGAAAGTTTATACTCCTAATAAATCAATGAAACAGTCGCCTTTTCTTTTTGCAAATGATAAGGTATGTAATTTTGAAATCTTAAACATTATTTATAATTTTAAGGATGTTTTTGATACATATTTTATGAATAAAAAACCGTTGCACCCTATTCTTAAGGAAAATTTTGTTAATGAACATGTATCCATAAAAATTGAAACACCAAAAAATAATATACTAAAATCCAAAATGTTTGATATAGTTGATTCTGGGTTAAAAAATAAGGAATCTCCTTTGGGGGATGATAAAAATCTAAAGATACCGACTTCATCTATACAAAATTCTCCTGTAAAGCAAATTATTTCCAATGATATATTCGTTCTTGACTCTAAAGATTCGCTTTCTGAAGATAAGCCAGATACTTCTTTACCTTTTTCTGAAAAGAATATTGAGATTATAAAAAAAGAGTGTGTTGATCATGATAATTTTATAAAAAATGAAGTATTTAGTTCAGCCAAAAAATCTATTCTTGATCAGGATTTTCAAATCTCGGATTTTTCTCTAGCATCTAATATTAAATTAAATGGTATATTATAAAATAAAAGTATAAAAGTTTTAATTGTTTTTTGTAGCTTCTCCTGCTGTTGACAAATCTATGGATGATTTAATACTAAATAGATCTTTTGAATTTGAATCTCAAAGATCTGATCTGTCTCTAGATTCTTCATTAATTGAAAAAAAAAATATTTTTTCTGAGAAAGAAAATGGTAAGATTAAAAACATTGGAACTATTAGAATATTTATATTGTTAGATACTATGGATCTAGGTAATTCTTTGAAAATAAAACAGACGGAATCTGAGAGTGATAAAGGGGTTTTACCACACCCAGTGATTTCTTCGTCAAAAATTATTCCTGAGAAGAAAATAAGCGTATCTAGTACTTGCAAAAATTTTTATAATTCTCAGGCTTTCAAATTAGAAGAAAATATGATTGTTAGTCCTCCAAAAGAGAAGTCTTTTAACATTTTTCCAGACACTCAGCCTTCGCCACTGAAATCTGGTTCACCCGTTTTGCATTTAGTTAAAAAGTATTATATTAATACACGTGATTTGCCCCGCCAATTCAGAGATTTTAAAACAAAAGGACATGTCTACAAAAAGAGGCCAAGTTTTCCTCCTTTTGTGGCTTCTAAAGTTTTAAATAATCCAGCTCTTACAAATTTACGGTCTAGGCATTCAATATCTGACCCTTCTCTTCCATTATCTGCTTGTATTAATAAAGTGGAATTTGTAAGTGAAAAGCAAGAAAAGATTAATCTACCAGCAACTCCATTGGAATTCTTGGAAATTTTAAATGATTCAGAAAAAAAACTTTTAGGATGGGCACCATTATTTTCTTCAAGCGACAATTTTAAAGAGAATAGTTATGAACTATTGGGTTCGAAATATGGCATATCTTCAAAAAATAATCTAATTTGCGGTGCTGCTCTACTCAATTCTGATAAAAAAAAACGGCATCATGAAAATAACCTATGTACTAACAATAAACTTGATATTATATGTCCAGAATTTAAGACATTTTCTCCCGGAAAATGGGTAGCTACACATCATGGCAAAAAACAAAAGCTTTATCAGTCGCCTATTTCTTCAGTTACTAAAAATATCTTAAAAAACAATTTATCGATAGCTAATGTAAATTGTTTAAATCAGTGTTCTTCTGTAAATACTTTAAAAGACATTGATAAATTTTATTCACCTGGAAAGTGGGTTCTTACTGCTCCTGGAAAAAAAATGAGGTTGTATTGTTCTCCAGATATTAGGACGAAAACTTCAAATAAATTAGTATATGATTTTAAATTAAAATCTTTTATAAATCCTTCACAAGAAAATGATATCTCTTTGGAGGATGGTTCAGTCGAATTTGATTCTGGAGTTAATGATTTTTATGATTCTTATATTGATTATACTGATAAAAACGAAAATTTTTGCGTTACTGATGTTTCTTATGATTCGGCAATTGAGAAAAAGGTTCAATTCAATGATTTTATTTCATTAAATAGTCAAGAAGAAGATTCACGTTGTCTAGAAAAATTGCATGTAGATGCAAGTGAATCAACTAAAAATAGTACAGGTTTTTTAAAGAATATTATAGATAAGAGTCACAAAAGTCCTTTGGTGAATAATATAGATAATGTGCAAGAATTCTGTGTAAATAATAAAGAAGATATAAATGATTCTAAAATTTCGTTTATGGATCAAATTATGGTGAATTTTAATACGGAAGTTATGGATGGAGAATTGTTTAATTTCGCTAAATTATCCAGTTCTACAATTGGTTTAGAATCGTTAACAGGAAATATTCAAGAATCAATAAGTAATGAAATTGGTTTTAAATTTAATGACAACTTTTCCGAATTATCGAAATGTTCTGTTTTTAAAGAGGGACATATGGAAATAAATCAGTCGATTCAGGAAGATATGCCAAAATTTCAGTCAATTGATGATGAAAAATCTACAGAGAATTGCGATAATCAAGATGCATTTATGGTTGAGTATTTTTCACCTGATCATACAAAAATTAGTGATACTACGAATGAAAACATTTGTTCAATAAAATCAGATGATATCGGAAATAATAATTTTACTGATATACATGTTTGTAGTCAACAACCTGAGGCTACTGTTTTTATGGAATTATCAAATAATTCATTGGATCTACAGAATCGTTATATGGATGTTAATGAAGATAAAGATAATGTTTGTTCTTTAACACCTGAAAAAGACTTAGGTGATACTAAGAAAAGGGCAAGTTTTTTTGAAGATATTGAGACAAAAGAAATGTTAAATCATTCTTTTTCCGATAAAATATCAAGTAAATTAGATAGTGATTTTTTATCTATTGAAAAAAATAATACAAGTTTCGAAATGATTGAAGTTTTGGAACCAGATTCTACTATTTCTCAAGTTGATAAATGTTTTCACTCTACTGATATAGATTCATCTTTTGCTAAGGTTAAATGCGATACAACTTATGAAGGAATATCAGTTGAATTGTCACAGGAGCAATGTGTTGGAAGTAGTTCCAGTAATTCAATGAAAAGATCCACTGGGTCGAGTGTTCGTGGAAAATCTAAACAAGGTTTTATTATAGAGAAATCTTCTAAAAAAACACAGGAATCAAAACCGGTTCGCGCATCAAGTAGAATAAGAGAAAAGGCTATTAAAGCTACTAATGATAAATCTAAATCTGAAAGTTCTGAGGCGATGATTTCTCATGAAAATGTGTATCATAATAAGTGTAGAATAACACGAAACTCTAGAAAAGCTAGTGTTGAAAATAATAATAATAATAATATAATTAGATCAACTAGACAAATGAAATCATCTGGTGGAACTAGTAGAAAGAAGTTAACTGACGATTCTTTTATTCCTATTTCTAAAGAAATAAAAATAAGTTCTTCAAAAGAATGCGCGAGAATGGTCAGAAGTAGAATTTTAAATGAAAAAATAGAACAATCTAAGGCACAATCCGATTTTAAGGATCATACTAATATCAAGAATTTACAGCATCAAGTAATCGGTTCTCGCAAAGATGACACAATTGCTGATAAAGCAGTAACTAAAATGCTCATGAAACAGAATAAGAAGAATCCAAAGAAAAGGAGTGTATCTCAAGCAAGTTCAATTACTGAAAAACCTTCTAAACGCCGTAGTGTTTTGCCTATAAATGATGAAAATGCGAAACCTTCTGCAAAGAGAGCTTGTTTGAGAAATAGATCTAAATAATTGCTAATATTAATCAAACTGATAATATTCCTTTTTTTGAATATATTTTATTCAAGATTTAATGAAAATATAAAGTTATTCGATTGAATTGAAAATATAAAAGTCGGTTTATTGTCAAAGAATTTATATTTAATAAGAAATAGTTTATGTTAAAGTTTTTGAAGTTAGGAAGCTACAGAACATTATGATTGAAATTAATGGTTTAAGTTAATTCTTTTTCTATAAGAATCAGATGTGCGAAGTGGTTATTTAATAGTATTGTATTTATAAATATCAATTTATTTTGAATGTTATAATTATTACACAGTTTTTGTGGATAATTTGGATTTAATAGGATTTGTTTTGGAATTAGTATTTAAAAATATTTTTTATATGATAATGAAGCTAACTTTAAAATTATTTATGTTGTAAGTATTTATTAAATCATTAAATTTTTTGTTTAAAGCGATCTTAAGTTTATAAATCAGGATTTCCCATTTATCTCTAGCAACTTAACTTCACTTCACTGTGTTAAGAATCAAAAGTGCAAAGAATATTTCTTACAATATTAAAGTTGCATTTGGAGGTATTATACTATAATTGTGTAAACTTTTTTAAAAAATTACATTTATTACCCCGGATATCCTACTTGTCCATATGCATAGTCCCCTGTAATTGTAAGTTCGGCAACTTCGCCAATACTCATTTGAGGAATGGCTTCTTAAATAAATATTAATTCGTATCATTTAAATTTATCTCTGAAAATATACCATCCCAGCCGCGAATTACTTGCTATATATTTAAGAACATTGATATATAAAAATGCAGATAGTAGCATACCCCTGTTCCTATAATTGTAGAAAAAGGCTTACCTTTGTCATAGGAAGAGTCTATTTTTTTTCCATCTTCAAGGGTTCCTGTCTATTAAGAGTTATTGGGTTTTTTATAATTAAAGAAATATGCATAATGTATAGAAACTCTAAAAAGTAAGCTTTATAAGTCTTAAGATAGAATTCTACCTGTCTCCTTTTGTCGGATAATCCTTTTTATTACCTTCCTGCTTATTCTAAGTAAAATTTAGTGTAATAAGACTGCTCTAACTTTAATTGTCTTTTTGATAACACCCATAAGGGAAAAGCAAGGTTAAACAACAATTTTATTTAGAAAATGTGTAAAAATTAATTATAAATGAATGATATATATTCTATTAAAATTAAATATAGTAGCGTTCAATTGAAGAACGCGGAATCCAGTTAATCATAAATATTTATAATTTTTTTAGAAAATCTAAAAAATAACATAACAAAACAATAAAGTAGATATGAAAATATCTAAGAATTCCAATTAACCCATGATTTTGACATAACTCTCCAAATACAAATTTCTCCACTTTTAAGGTCACCTATTCTGAAACTTGATTGAATGACTTTTTTTGAAATTCTTCCTTGTTCCCATACTTTAATTTTCCGTTTGGTTCCATCCCATTCCATGATTACAGCAGCGTGGTCTGGGTTTCCAACACTTGTGCTGTATTTTGTATGTAAAGTTCCTTTATGACCTTGAAATTTCACATTTCGAAATGAAACAATATCACCTGTTTTAATTTCATCTCTTTGCTCTATAGATGCATTTGCTCTGTTTTGGTAAATCACTGCACCGTATGCTCTTACACCAGTAGGTGGTAATGCATCAGGAATATTACTAATAATATTCTGTATAAAAGCAAAAGGACTGCCATCACCAATGGTTATCCCAGTATGCAAACTTGCTAAATTAGCAACTTGAGTGCCAAACTTTTCATATGCAATTTCTAATTGGTTTTGATTTGGTTTTATTGGAGAAGGTCGATGAATTTGTTTTAAGTCTGCATTTTCAGGATTTTTTTTGTTAAATGTTACTAAAATTTGTGTTTCACTATAATCATGAAAAAGAATGCGAATTTCTTTTGTGGCTATACTATTTCCATCTTTCAAAAGATGTGAAGACTCAAAAAATTTTAGTAATATGTCTTTTCTATTTTGAAATATGGAAGGAAGTGCATTAGGACGTGTCCACCATAATGTGTCTTTTTTTAAATCAATGTTGCATGCAATATATTCTACTTGATTAAAAGGATCATAGTTGATATTGCGTTGATCTATTGAGTAATGAAGTCCTCTTAATTCATTTATTGATAATTGATTGCGAATATATGGTTTTTCTGCCGAACTTTGATATTTATTAGATTTTTTATCGGTTTCTGATATATTAGATGTAGGAGAAGAAAAATACTCTTCTGAACAACTTTGTTGATACGGAGAACCTGGATATTTTGAATATTTGTATTGCAAATTAGATGCTGATCCTTCGTTAGTTTGAGTAAACATATTATTAGCAATATTTCTTTTGACTTTATCATCATCATCTGCAATATTTTGAATAACATATGAACTTGTTAAAGAAATAGGACTTATATCATCATTGGCATTCTGTTCATATATAACATCACTCGATATATTATTTTTATAAATATTGTTCCTTGAATTTTTGTTTTCTTCTAGTTTATCTTCATCAATACAAAATTGTTTTTCCTCAAAAATATATGTATATTTTGATTTATCTTTGAAATCAGAGTATGATAATTGACATTTTGATGCTTCCTCAGAAACGAATCCTGATTCTGAAGATGTATTACAAGTATAAGAAAGCCTATTATCATGTTGAGATAGAATAGGAGATGTGCATTTGGATGTCAATGACGATTTTGAAATAAAAATAGGTTTTGCCGGTCTACAAGGTGTAGATTGCTTTTGTGTGGAAAGATCTATGTTATTAAATAATTCTGATGAATGTGTAGAATATGGGCGTTCAGGTATGAATGGTGGATCCTTTAACAGTTTTTGCGGTAATTTCGATAGTTCAGAATTTTCTGGAGATTGCTCAATAAGAATTGGTGATATAGTTTTATTGCTTAAAATCGAAGAATTGTTTTTTGAATTTTTAGAAAGAAAAGATGAAAATGATTCCACATTTGGAACAGGGGTATAATATATTGCAGATTTTTCTAATGCATATTAATTAATGTGAAAAGAATTCGATTAATCACATACCTAAATCTTCACCGTCATCCTTAAAAGAAATATTGTTTTCAGAAACGCTATTAGTTTTATGACATTTTTGAGGTGTTGACAAATGAAGATTTGAAAGAGAGTGTTTTATTATTTCTGAGGAATTATTTTGAACTGTCATTTCTTCTTTATTCCTATTTTGAACAGGTGATTTAGAAAAATTATCTAGCTGATGGCTCCTATTTGGTCGTTTTGCTGGTGATATTGGAACCATTGGAACAGAAAAAACAGGTGTTGTTGTTTGAGATTTATCTTCATTATTACCCAAAGATGTTCTTTTTGTAGAAAATTTAAGACCCGTATATGTACTGTCTTGCTTTGATATTCCTAATGCCATATGCATATTCATACCTGCATGCGACATTTTTGCCATACGCTCACGAATAGCTGCACGACGAGCAAGCTCTTCTTCCATAAAAGAATCATTGTTTTTACTTGATACTGCTTCTAATGTTTTCTTTTCTTCATTCATATGATTATCTTCATTTTTCCCTTGCTTTTGATTTTCTGGTTCATTACTTGGTGAATTTTTATTCGGCTTAAAAGAATTATGAGATGATTCTAAAAATATTTCGCTAGATACGTTTTTAGGCGCATTATTATGTTGTTCCGCATTTTCTTCAATAATAGGCTCTAATGTTGAATTATTATTAGACGCATTTGTTTCATGTATTTCCTGACTATCAAACTTTATATTTCTAAGAGCTAAAATTCGATCTTTAAGCGACCCCAACTGAAGAGTATTTTGCTCTGAAACATTATATGAAACTTCTTTCTGCAAATTATCTGCACCATGTGTCTCTGTCTGTTTTATATTATTAATATATGTGTTTGATAAACACATTCTAGGTTTTGTATTATATGATTGTCTATTAGTTGTGAATCCTATATCTTCCTCCTTAGGAGTATTAAATGAGTCCAAAATCTCCCTAAATGACTTCTTAACACTCTTCTTACTTTCCGGTTCCTCCGATGTTAATGCTTCTGATTTCTCTCTTTTATCTGTTTTTACTTCTTCCTCTTCATTATTCTTCTTCATATCCCCTATTTCTCCCGCAATATCCTTCTTATTTGTCTCTCCTCCCTCTGTTTCTTCTGATAACTGCACATAATTCTTTGGAAATATTCCTATACTGCGATAACCTGTTGCATCTATATATTGGCCAATATACCAATCTCTATCTTCTACCCCTAAAATATCAATGACCTGACCAGCATTAAACTTCAAATCCTCTGGATATTCTGAAGTATAGTCATACAAAGCTCGACATTGCATGTTATTAAGTTTCATGGCTTTTTCTTTGTTTAGCAATGTCGGTAGCTTAATCGAACCAACTCATATAAAATTATGTCAGAGCTTCAAATTATGTCTTTATTACTGCGGCCAGTAGATCCTCAGACATTACGCTCCTTAGGATCAAAGCTAAAACCTCAAGATTATGAGAATGTATTATTAGAACGTAATTTGGAGAAGTTTTGCGGGTATCCGTTATGTCATAACCCTCCAAGAGTAAGAAATAGAGATAAATTAATAAAGCTAATAAATATTTAGGATGAGAAGGCACCTTATAGGATTTTGTATAGTAAACGTAAGATTTATGATCAACGGTCATTATTACGCTTTTGTTCTACAGACTGTTTTAAAAGATCAGCATTTTTTGCAGCACAATTAAGTCCAGAGCCATTTTGGTTAAGAGATTCCAATGACATGAATATTTGTCTTTTGGAGGAGTCATTGGGATCTGAAGGACCGTCAGTTGATGGAGAAGGGGTAGATATATCTGTAGATGCAGTTGACTCGGATCTGAATAGAAATAATAAGCCTGGTATAAAAACACCTATACATTCCCATGTTTCAGAAAGAACGCGTTCCTGTGTATTTGATATTGGAATTTCTAATACATCGTTTCCTATTGTTGAAAGATCTTTGACAATGAAGACTAATGTAGTAGAAAAGTTTCCTGATTCAGAACATTATGAGTGTATTGAAGGGTTTGTTGCGCCTGCAGGAAAATGGCAGTCTTGAATTATATGTGTTTTGGATATTTATAGACATATTTTTAACATATTTATGATTATCTATTTTTATGGCGTTATCAGAAATTAAAAATTATTTTTGCAGTAGATGTTTTTATAAGGCATGTTATTGTTGGATTTTTATTATTGGATTTAGCATAAGGTTCATATATGTCTTTTTTTTTCAATTATTTTATTTAATTAAAAGAAAAATAGGCTTGTAGAGTTTTAAAAATTAATTATAAAAATCTAAAAACTGTTTTCAAATCTTCAGTTGTGCTAAAATAATGGAATTTTGATATTTTTTCTAGAGATTTGTTGTTAAAATTTTTATTGAATATTAATATATTTTAATTTTTATATTTAATAAAATTATTTATTTCTTATTAATTGATCTTTATAATTAAGAAACTTTTAATATTCAGATTTAAAGACATATTTAATTAGAGGAATAAATATATGAGAGATTTCTCTTTTTTTAAACGTTATTTCCTTTCTGCAGGAATCTTGCTGGCTTCTAATGTTGCATTTTATTACTTTTTTAAATGGATTATTAAAAGTATGGATCCATTTGGAGATCATAAAGCACGAATAAGGGAGAAAAGCAATAAGATCATCCATAGATTTCAAAAAGAATATGGTTTATTTGATAAGAAGCTAGATTTGAATGAGTATGAAAGAGTGATTATGACAGAGGTTGTTTTAAATAAAGATATTAATATAACTTTTGATAGTAAATAACATTTTTTTAGGAATTAATTAACTGGATATAGTGATTTGTGGTCTTGAAGATGTAATTTCTGCTTTTAAAGAAACTATTATTTTGCCTCTTCATTACCCAGAACTTTTTGTATCTTCTAAGATCCTTCAGGGCCCTTCAAAAGGTGTTCTTCTTTATGGACCTCCAGGCATCTTTAATAAATAATAATATATGTATACCAATTGATATTAGGTTGTGGGAAAACATTGATTGTTAAGGCTTTGGCATATCATTCTAATGCAACGTTTATTAATTTACATATTTCTACTCTTACTGATAAATGGTTTGGTGAATCAAATAAATTGGTTGCTGCTCTTTTTTCTTTAGCTAAGAAGCTTGAACCAACAATTATCTTTATTGATGAAGTTGATTCATTTTTGGGGAAAAGACAAAAGATGGAGCATGAAGTGATGTCTATGATTAAAGCAGAATTTATGAGGTAGAATAAAATATAATTTAATTTTTCTTATTTTGTAAATAGTATGTGGGATGGGTTTTCTACTGAGGAAAACTCCAGAATTGTGATCATTGGTGCAACTAACCGACCTAATGATATAGATGAGGCAATTCTTAGAAGAATGCCAAAGAGATTTTATATTCCTCTTCCTGATGTTTTTCAACGAGAAAAAGTTTTAAAATTTGTTTGTTTTTGTTTTTGTTTATGGTATTTTTAATTATATTTAGTTTCTTTCTGATGTTAAGTTGGAAAATGGTTTTAGCTTTGACTTTCTCGTTTCAAAAACAGATGGGTTTTCTGTTTCTGATATAAAAGAGCTGTGTCGCGAATCTGTAATGTTTCCTGTTCGTGAATTTATTGCATTAAACAATAACTTGAATAAGAAAAATATTGATATGAAAGATATTAAGAATCAGATACGCCCATTAGAAATAAATGATTTTATGCTATGTTTCGACTCGTGTACAAGATTTAAAAGTAATTCTAGTTTTTATGATATTGGTTTGGACTAAAGATATTAAATATTATTATAAAATTGTTTTTGAGATGCATAATTTTTTTAACATTAAATGGAATATTTTTATAGAATATTATAGACTAACAAGAGATACATATATATTGTATATATACATGCATAATGGATTCATATAAGGGGATATTCTTTGTATAAAAGTTTTATGGCTTATATTTTTAGAGAATGTTAAATCATCTTTTGAATTTTCTTAAGTACTGTTTTTGTTTTAGAAGAAACTATTTGAATTGTTTAAAAAATGTTAAAAATATTAACTTTTTGTTATTTTTAAAATTAAACTGATTTTGAATATGTCTATGTATATTGCATTATTAAATAATCGATATTATTAAAAATGTTTTTCATGATGTAACTCGCTTTTTTCAAATTTCTTACGCTGAATTAGTTGGTGATTTTTAGTAGTATCCATAAATTTCACATAAATTTCTAGTTTTCCTTCTGGTGATATTTGTGCAAATTTAGGTGTTACATTAACGACACTTTCACGGATTTCTTTCGTTCCATTGATAGAATTGGGTATTTCGCTTTTTTCTAGAACATGTGCAACTATTCCACCAAAAAGAACCTTTTTATTGTTTGGCTTTATAGACAATATACGTGCTGGTAATAGTTTTTTTCTTAAATTATTAGACTCTATAACAGGAGAAAGATAACCATAAGGGCGATAATCTAATCCTGAATTTGGAAAGGTTTTTCGAATTTTTTGATTATTTTCTGGAATATTTAAGAATTTCTTAATATATTCATTTATTAAAAGATGCGTTTTTTGTGTTCCTAAGGATTTAGAAAGTTGTAATTCTCTTTTCTGTTCATCTTCAAATGATTCTTCTTGTTGCTTTTGTTTCATAAAGTCTATAAAATATTTCTTTTTTGTTCTTAGTTTCTTAATATAATTCTTAAATTCTTTAAGAGACATTTCTGATATATTTTTATGTAAAGAATTTTCTGTAGTATTTTTGAGTTTTGTAAAAGGTGAAAAAGGTACCATATGTATTCTCTCATATCTATTTGTATCGTTTATATCATCCTTTCCTGCATTCGTAGTATACAAATGTATTCCCATTTCCTTCCAGCGTTCAAGAAAATTAAATTCTGTGTTCCCGCTTTTAAAAAGTGTTTGATGTTCTAATGTATCAAGTGAATCAATAGAAATATGCGAGCTTTTCACTTGAGGCATATCACGTTTAAGACCCCAATTTCCCCTAAAATGAGAACTGGCTGGGGTTCTTATGATCTGATGTGTTGGGTAATATTTTTCTACTGTTCTTTTTCCAATGGGTCTTGGAAGTGCTATCAAACGGGATCTCCTTAGAAGTTCATAATAACATTCTGATCCCATATTTTCTTGTTTCTTTTAATATTCATTTAAATTATATTTTTTAATAAAATCGAGGTTGCTTACTGATAATAATATTTTTAATAAATATTAACCTTCCTTTCTATAAAAGAACCAAAACAAATAAAAACTATGACTAAAATTGATTCAAAGATAGTTTTTTGTTATTTTTGTTATTTATGTTATTTACAATAATATAAATATATTTTATAAATATTCTGTTTATAAAGAGCCATTTATTAATGATTAATTATATGAATCACATTATTTGAATTACATTATTTGATATCAATTAGTTATATAAAGTTATCAACAAATGCTAAACTTAATATAAAATATTTTTATCAAACTTTGGACTTATGAAATTTGGTTTTTATAGTGATGTAATTAATTTTAGTTTAGTTTTAACTTTTTATATATTAGAATTAATATAAAAATATTACAAGATATATGTTTATGCAACAATTATACATTTAAGAACAAATGTTTGTTTTTATATATAATTTTATAGTGTTACAAGATATATGTTTAAAAGCCTTTTAGCCAGATCTTTTATTTCTAATAGATTTATATGTTAAAAAATAATAAACATTATTTTTTAATATATTTTTAAAAATTATTTTAAAACTAGTTAATACTTGGTTTTTAGAAATGTTAAATGTACAAAGATTTTTATATATAAAATATATAAAATAATGTATCTCTATAGAATATTATAGCTTTACATGTTTAATGATATTTTGTTTTTCTTTTATTTGTCTATTGTTTAGCGGATATTTATAACAATATTTTAAATCTTTGATAAAATATTGTTTTAAAATAATAAATTGAAAATCTATTAAATTGTTTTGATAATTTTTTAAAGATGAACAAATTGTAATTTTTTTTATTTTATCTGGTAAATTGAGTTATTATAGGAATTCATGGAGTTTATTGAAGGAATATTATGATAAGAAAGGGAAGAAACTTGTAATTAAAGACCTTTTTGAATTAGATAAGGATAGGGTTCAGAAGTTCTCTAAGGAGTTTTATTGTTCCTCTGATGATTATATTTTGTTCGATTTTTCTAAGAATATAATTGATGATGAATCATTTAAATTACTTGTCCAATTAGCAAAGGAAGCAGATATAGAAGGGCATAGGAATAAGATGTTTTCTGGTGAACATGTTAATTTTACAGAGGATAGGTTTTTTTTGAAAAAAATTATGATTTATGTTTGATTTATTTAAGATCTGCTTATCATATGGCTCTTCGTAATACTTCAGGGAAAAAAATGGAAGTAGATGGGAAAGATGTTTCTAAAGATGTTTCCTCTGTTTTAGAACGTATGCGAGTGTTTTCTGAAAAAGTTAGATCAGGAGAATGGAAGGGTTATACTGGAAAGTCTATTAAAACAATAGTTAATATAGGTATTGGGGGGTCTGATCTTGGTAAATTGATGCTTTTTGCTATTATTTTGTAGTAGAATTGATATTTTAAAAGGGCCCTCTATGGTTACTGAGGCACTTAAACCGTATGCTTTAAGAAGCCTTCAAGTATATTACGTTAGTAACATTGATGGAACTCATATATCAGAAGTTTTGAGGCTTTGTGACCCTGAGAGAACTTTGTTTTTAATAGCATCGAAAGTATTTTTTTAGTTCTTGATATATTTATTTTTTAATGAAAGACTTTTACTACTTTAGAAACTATTACGAATGCTGAAACTGCCAAAAAATGGTTTTTGAAGACATCTGGATCCGTTAGTGTATTTCAATGCATTAATTTTATTTAATGTAATATTAGGAAGAGCATGTTTCTAAGCATTTTATCGCATTGTCTACAAATGTGAAAGAAGTTACTGCTTTTGGCATTGATGCTGAGAATATGTTTGAGTTTTTTGACTGGGTATTTATTATATTAGATTTGCAAAATATTTATAGTAATTAGGTTGGTGGGCGATATTCAGTATGGTCTTCTATTGGGCTTTCTGTTATTTTATATATTGGTTTTGATAATTTTTGGCAATTTCTTGAAGGGGCACATGTTATGGATAACCATTTTTTTGAAACTCCAATTGAGGACAATATTCCTATGATTGGAGGTCTTTTATCTGTATGGTACTCTAATTTTTTTGGAGCACAAACACATCTTGTTTGTCCTTTCGGTGTGTATTTTTCATACTAATATTAATTCTTCTTACATTTAAGATCAATATTTACAAATGTTTCCAAGATATTTGCAACAACTTTCCATGGAGTCTAATGGAAAGTCTATTGATCGTACCGGTAAACAAGTTCAATATTCTACTGGAGTAGTTAAGTTCTCTAAAAATAAGTAATTTTATCTAATTGTTTTAGATTTTGTTTGGTGAACCTGCTACGAATTCTCAACATTCATTCTTTCAATTGGTCCACCAAGGAACTATACTTATTCCTGCTGTTTGTTTATTATTATGATAATATTACTGTATATTAAAATGATTAGGATTTTATTATGGCTATAGAATCTCATAATTCTATTGAGGAAAATAAGCATCAATTGTTTAAAATAATCTATCTATTTATATATATTATTAACAATATTAGGCTTCTTGCATCAAACTTTTTTGCTCAATCAGAAGCTCTTATGTTAGGAAAAACATCTAGCCAAGTAGAAGCAAACGAAACAAATTTGAAATTAGTTCCTTATAAAACATTTACGGGTAATAGACCAACAACATCTATATTGCTTAAAAAAGTTACACCGAGAACTCTTGGTGCTCTTATTGTTTATTATGAACATTTAACATTTACTGAAGTAACTTTTAAAAAAAAAATACATAAATATTTATTTATATATAGGGAATAATATGGAATATCAATAGTTTTGATCAATTTGGAGTAGAGTTAGGGAAAGTGCTTTCTAAAAGTAAAATAATGTTTTTGAAGAATATATCTAATTTTAATCAGGCATTTATCAAGAGCTTCTTAGTGACGAATATGTGACCAGCCATGATGCATCTACACGGAATCTGATAAATGTTTTTAAGACGAAATCTCGTCGGAATATTTAAAAATCAATTCCATATAATCTTTTTTTTCATATTATATTGCCGATTTAGTGTTTGATTATAATTTTTAAATAATATTTTTCAATATATTTAGTAAAAATTTTGTTAAAATATTAACGATTTCTTAATTACAATTGTGTTTTAGTTTTATTAGATTTTGTGTTTTTTAGTGATTTAAATGATATATAAATATATGAATTATAATAAATTCGAATAATGGCTCAAATAAAGATCATATAATATTTTATAATAAGAATTAAAAACATTGTTAAATAATTTTTATTGATTTAAGGATTTTTTTAGATTAAAACGATTACGTAAAGCTCTACTATTTTGTATTTCTTTTACTTTAGAGCCAGCTACTAACTGTGATGGAGTTTTGTAATAAATACTAGATAAAGAGCCTAAATTAAGACATAGTTCATCAAGAGTTTTCTGATCAAAATTTTGTAAAGGAAGTTTGATAGATGGAATATTTTCCATAATAATTTTTTTGGCCGTATAACTATCTCCTAATAATAATTTCCAATACATATAGGCACGATTTCGAAGGTCTGGATTGTCAGTATCTTCTATAACTTTTTTTAACAAAGATAAGATAAAATTCTGATTATCAGGCGATTGTTGAATATATAACTTCGCAGAAGCTGTTAAAAGTGCGAATTGAACTTCAAGAGTTTCATCTGAAAATGTAGAAAAAAAATTATATAAAAGTTGATGTGAATTTTCAATTACATTTGAATATTGCCCTATTATCCATATCGCAGCTGCTTTCGCTTCTGGTTCACTTAAGTTGTTTAAATTATTGCATATTACTGAAATTATTGATTCATATTTATTGGGATATTTTCTAAATATATTTTTCATCACTAATATAGATTCCTGAATTATATATGGTATTTTTGTTTCAATAAGAGATAATAAAATGTTGACACAACTTTCTGTTATGCTTTCAAATCCAATTGCCAGAATACCAATAGATTGAATAGATTTTTTAACAAATCTTTTATCTATTTCACCAGTATAACTGCTAGATATTAGTTTATATAGCCAAGAAAGCAATGTTAATACTCTTTAAGTTCTGAAATAATACTGTATATGTTTTCTTTATTTGCTATCTTTGTAATTATTTCAAGTTTTGCTAACTTAATGTATAATGGATCATTGTGTTTGCAAAAAAAAATATCAATATTATTCTCAAATATGTCTGGTATTTTCTGAAGTATTATTTGTACATTTTTAATGGTAATGTATTGTATCTCACAATCTTTTGAAAGAAGAATAACTAAAATGGATAAATTTAAAAATTAAATAGATAAAAATACTTAAAGAAGAAAATAATTTCCGTGATAAAACTTTAATGGTGACTTCATTATGCATATAGTTCATTAAATATAATATGATTTTTATTGCTGTGAAAATAATACAAGTGTTAGAATGTTGTAAGCGAGGAGTAATTTTTTCTGCGAGGATCTCTGCATCATTTTCTTCTTGAGGTATATAATTCATTAAAGCCTCAAGAATGTAAATTTGATTCCATCTAAAATTATAAGTTACGATATAAAACCGAAACTATTATACTCTGCGCATCCATCAAGCATATTTGCTAATTTGTTTGCATATGATGTTGAAATATCTAACTTTACAGAATCTGAATGTTCGGAAATCTGAATTAATGATAATAAAGAACTAGAAACAACCTTCGGCTTTATAAGAATAGTTTAATTATAATGTTTTCTTACAATTGAATTAGTGTCATGAAGTTTTTTCTTAAGTTCATTTATGAGATTATTTTCTTCAACAATACTTTTATTTGTATAATAGAGTTTTGAAACACATATTGCTGCCGTTTTTCTGACATATGGATCAGAATCAGACAATAATTGGTTTAATGGTATAACAATGGAATTTGTGAATTCTTTAATATTAATATAAGACATTGTTCTTAATGCTAGAGAACGAATCAAAGGATTTTTGTCATTAAGATCCTATAGAGATTTAAAAAAAATATAGATATTTTAAGATTTTACTTTAATTAAAATAGGAAGAGCTTGTAGTGCCATATTTGGTTTTGATCTAGACCTCGTTAAAATATAACTATATAGTACACGAAAATACTTCGAATAGTTAATCAAAAATAGAAAACACATTTTTTTTATTTCAAGAACTGGAATATCCATACATTGAATAATATCAGGGAACAATGATGACATATCGTTAGACATTGTCATATTTGCTATAATCTTCTTTAGTGCTACCTTCTTTCGTGTATACTTTTTATCTTTTTTCTCATCTGACAATTCTAACTTTAATTCTTGAACTTTTCCCTATAAAAAATATTTAAGCTCATATTTAAAATTTATAAAAATCACTTTTATAAAAAGTTTCTTATCACGATTCATCTTAGACATATATATGTCTTTAAATCTATGTATTTTCTTGTTTAATATTTAGATTGTTAATTTTTGCGGTTAAGATTCTCTATAATATAAACGAATATTTATCTACTTTAAATTCATATCTTGAAGAATTTGTAGATTTTGCATATACTAAAAATGAGTTAGATCATGATATAATATTAATAGTTATTGATAATGTATTAAATACAAGTTTTTGCTTACTTTTTTATAATATTTTTGGGTTTAAAATTTTTTAATAAAAAGATTAATAAATTTCGTAAATTTTCTAGTTTATCTTTTTTATATAAAATGTTGGTTTAAATAGAACTATTTATTTGTAAATGGAAATATTATGTTTTTTAGTGAGTATTTTTGAATTTGTATAGGTTTAAGCTTTTAAAACGAGATAATCGTATTTTAAGAAATAAAATATTTTTAAAATTTTGTACAAATGATTATTTGCTTTGATTTTTGACATTTAGAAATAGCTATTTCAATATCATTTTTGATAGATTTTATGTAGAATTTGTTAAAAATAATTACGAAGTTTTAATTAATAAAAGGATATAAATGTTTTAAATGCAAGATGACTAAATGAAACTTTGGTTATTGTGTTAATTGTGTTCAAATTATGAAATATGATGACTTTTTTGATTGTAATATTTATTTGAAATAACAATTGTATTAATAAATTTTGTATAAAACAAGATATAAAGTAATATGTCAAAAATGTCATGTTAGATCTTTTTCATGTATAGATTGATGATATTTTAGTTATATGAAAATACAGAATATTCGAGGTGCTATAAAAATTAGTAATGAAAATAAAATTAATCAATACATTTCTTTCATGTTCCCAAGCGAGCCAATCACTTCTGGTAATTGGTAACAATCTAAATATTAGATAATTTTTTTTAAAAAAAAAAACATATAGTTACCCCATCCATTGCATTTTTATCAATCCAAGAGCAATCGTAACCAGTTGAATAAGTACAAATGATAACTTGGGAAGAAAAAACTTAGAATGCGTTTTAGGCGATTCTAAATGAACAAATGCTTTGTTTAAATTCGATATACTCTTTATAGGGTTCCAAAAAAGCATAAATGTCATAATTAAAGAAAATATTTGAACACTATTTCCCGACTAAAATTATATAAGATTTTAATTATATTATCTGAAAAAAATACCATATATGCCATAATAATAGACATAGGTAACCTGAAAAATATATATATATTTAATTATTTTCTCATACATTCAAATTCTTACATTTTTGCTGGTGCCAAAGCTACTTCCCATGCCTTTTTTATTTTTAATAACTCTGTTTTCTCTGTAGAAAGTGTTGGCAGAGACGATTTCATTCCTTTCTAAATTCTCATCAGATCTCATTCCTTATTAAATTGTAATAATAATACTGTCTGTATTCCATCATCTGAAATATAACCTGGAGGATTTGCTAGTTTTCGTTCACTTACTAACGTCCCCCTAGAAAAACTCAATATCTAACTAATTTCAAAATAATTTACCTTTTTCCTGCGTACATAAGCTCTTCAACCCAGTCTGTATTTATATCTGTTTCCATGCTGTAGATTTTAATATATGGAGAGTTCGACCGATATCGAGCAATATATTAAAGATTAAGAGATGCCAAGGAAATCTAATGATACAGCACGTATAGAAACAACACGCTCTCAACAGAATTCCACTAGTATTCCCTTATATTTCCCTCGATTTCCACGTAAATCTTATCTGGGGAGGTATGGAACATCATTGACTATGGCAAAAACCTCTATAGTGGATTTGGAAGAGTTAGAAACAAATGATACAGTTAAAGAACCATCTTGTGACACGAATGCTGAGCCTTCTATATGTCCGGACGGGCTTTCTATAGTATTGGAAGATCATAGTGATAAATTTGTAGATACGAGTGTAAATGGGTCAGAAACAAGTATACAAAGTTTATCGGATGAAAAATCATTAGATTCAGTAGAATCATTTGAGAAACAGGCGCATACAGTTTGTGATTCGAAACAAGCAGATGTTATTTCACCGACCCAGCAAACTGAATGGAAAAGAGAGTCTGTTATCTCGATAACTAAAGATGTTAATATTCAGGTTGATAATGAAAGAGATATATGTAATAAAGAGGATGAAATTTTATCATTGGATCAGGAATTAAGTGATTAATTAACATTTCTTTATATGAGATATATATTAAGACAGATATAGAAGAGAAACATATGGATCATAATCAATTATATGAGAAGAAAGAAGAAGCTAACAATAAAGAAGCATTGGGAGGATCAGTTGATGAATCATATTGTTTACAAAAAAATGAAGAAAATATGCAAGAAGAGTCATGTAATCATGTATCGTTAAGCATACCAGCAGATGATAGTTCTTCTGATGTTCAAGCTTCTCAGAAAGATTCTGCATTACTAGCTGAAGAATCTTATATTTCGCTTTCAATATATCCTAAAGGAGATAAACTTACACCACCATCACTTCCTGATGATTTTTCTGACCAAGAAAGAGCTTATGCTATGCTAACAATTAAAGAATGGGAAGATAAAGGGTTGGAAATCTCGAAAAGAGGTTTTCAATTAATTGAAAAAGTTATTTTACTGCGAAAGTGCTATCTTTCAATTGTTTTATGATAAAACTGATAAAATTAGGAGGAAAGAAGAGCTTCTTTTTGAAGTACAAAATATGATTGATGTACATGCTGAAAAGCTTATTCAACGAGAAGAAAGTTTACGTTTACGAGCATTAGATGTTAAAAAACGTGGGAGGGAATTATTGGATAATGTAGGTTCATAATGAATTAATATATATATATGATAATAGGTTTGATGCTTTATATAATTGGTTACCTGATTATTCAAAATATAGATAATAGTATTCCAGAATGTAAAAAGGAAACATGTTTATATAAATAAATTTTTCATATATTTTTTTTCCTTGTGTTTGAATTTAAGAACGCCTTTGGCTTCTAAATGCTTGTTGTTCAACCGCGCCTGCAAGTGATGTATTTACAGTGACTGCAAGAGAATCATAACCTATTGCCTTCAACATATTCTTTATAAAGTAAGAAATAGTTCAATGAATTAAGTACAAAAATGTCACCTTAGTGTCGATATCTACTTCAAGTGCTGCAACATTTGTACTAAGTGCAGATATCTCCGGAACATACTGATCTTTCCTCTCTCTTTCTTCCTCCTGAAGCTTAAAACTAATCCCACAAACTGGTCCCTTTTGTATTCTTTTCATCAAATGTGTTGTATATCCCGCAATTTTATTTCTTAATTTTTTCGAGGCAATAATAGCTACTTCATCACAAACTTTTTTATTTGTATGAAAATCATTAGTCAACCGAGGATAATACTAGACCCATTAAAAGTCTTATCTAAAATTCCTATTCCTACTTTTTCAATAATTACTCGTGAAGCACGTTTAACAGTTTTAGTTCTAACACGACCCTATAAAAAAATTAATACTTGTTCAATTAAAATTTAACAGAATTTAATAAAAACTATAGTAAAATGTAAGCTATTCTTACATAACTCCTTTATATTTGATAAAAAATTAATTGTTTTAAAATTTATCATTTCATATTAAAATTTTTTCTTTAATATAGAATAGTTCACAGTTCTTTTTAATTCCATATTAAAGTTCTTACCATATTATGTTCGTGTCTTCAGAAATACTATTTGTTAAGAGTATTTAAAAAAAGTACAGCTTAATTGTGTTAAAGGTGAAATTAAAGGTTCTTATCGTACGAGATTCCGTAAAAACAGTCCAACGCAAATTTAAGGAAATAAATATAGATATAGCTTATGAAATAATTTTGTAAGACATGATTTTAGTCATAAATGCCTCTTTTTATTAAATGAAATATTTTTTTATATAATGATTTATGAAGATGAAAAAAATATATTTATATTATTAGGAAATTTTTTAAGATGTTATTAAATGCCTTTAGAAATCATGTTTGATTAATAAAATTTTTTGCTGATGTTTTTTACTGATGTTTTTTGTATTTAAATATGTATAATATTTAGGAAATTGCAAAGGGCTCTGACATTAAAGCCTTGGATATTATGTATAAATACTATGTATTAATTAGCTAGTATCTTTTAGTAAATGAGGTTATACATTCTTAACAGTTTCTACGCCATGTAATTCATAAGCTAGCCATAGTTCACATCTACGACAAGTATACATCCAACGTTTTTCATAACCATTTTTTCTGTAGAAAAAATCATGTTATAAATGTGTATATAAAGATTTTTTGATAGTAGTTATTTTACCTTTCTAATATTAATGGTTCAGACTGTTTTATAAATGTTATACGAAAAGTATGCTTTGTTTTATCAATTATTAAAGCGTTATCGTATTGCCTTTTTGGAAGGTTTTTGAGATCAGTAGAAATAGATAAAGAATATTCACCACATATGCAAAAGTAACTGTTAAAATCCTTGAGAGAAACTTCTTTCATATTAAACATATATACATTTGGAACTATATATTAAAATATAAAATATTTGTGTTGTAGATGAAAAGCTTAAATCAAAAAAATATTAATAAAAATATACGTAAATGGTATAAGATATTAGGTTTATGAATGATATATACAAAAAAATAGATATCATATATTCTTTTATGTAGAATCTTTATTTTTAATCCATCCTTGACTAATCATAAAATCCACAATTCTTGAAGTTTTACTTATATCAATTTTTATTAACTCACGAGCTTGTCTTTTTTTTAGCTGCCCTCCTGTTTTTATAAGTTTTCTGAAAATAATATCTTTAATAACAAGATATGGTTTCGGTAAAATGTGTAACTGATTGCAGAGTGTTTGTTCAGCAAGTGTAAGTAAATGCAGACCTGATGCTGTTGATATATTAGAAATGGCTGGTTTTTTTAAAGGTTTAGAAATGGAATCTTTTGTTTGATTAAAAGAAATGAATTCCTCTTGAGAAGCGGATTGTGGAAGCTTTCCTGTTAAGTTTTTTGTATGACGTGAAATATATCGATCAGAAACTATTAAAGATAGTGGATTTTTCATTGCGAGTTGCTGATTTAAATTAAATTTAAGTATTAAAATAGTAGATTTTGTTACTTTTTGGGATCTATCACGCTCATATTTTTGACCCTGTTCCAGTGTAGTAAACCCGTTTTGTCTCCATTTTTGCAGTTCTGCAATTTTTCTTCGAATTTTTAATTCATCTATATCTAATAAAAAAAGTTTCTGGTAACTTTAAATGAATATTTACTTAATAACCCTTCTACAAATGCATCATAGTCCTTAGAATTTTGCAACCTAGCAAAGGCTTTGGTTTTATTAATAAGTTCTCTTTCATCTTTAGTTCTCTTCTTTTCATTAGCTAAATTTTTTCTATAATCTAAAAGTCCATGTTCAAATATAACTTTCTTTCTTTCTGCGCGTTTATCTAATTTAGAATTATATATATCTAATATTGTTAATTTTAATTCTATAACATCTTCTGCATTTTCTGAAATATCTTCATCGAAATTTATGTCTTTAATTGTAAGTTCTGCATCATTCTCATATTCTGTCTCAAATTCAAGACGACCTGGCATATATCCTTGTATTTCATGACAAGATGGAGTAGAAACTACCGGCTTTTGTTTTTGTGGAGGAACAAGTCTGTCTGTCGTTGAAAATTTCCTAACTCTTTCTTTCCTACGCTTTTGAAATTCTTCACGGTCAACATCAAAAGGTAGACGTTTCTTATAAAAAGTTACACTTTGTTTAGAAATTAATAAAAAATACCGCGTATGGAAAAGATGGACTAGATATATATATATCATGATAATGCTTTTCACATTCCTCCTTAGACCTTCCATTTCCAAGATAATCTGCAACATCCTGCCAATTGCCAAGTCCATAACTGTCAAGTCCTTCTATAAGCATCAATTCTTCATCTGCTCCCCAGTCTTTATCAAAAATAGGAAATGATGGTTGCTCAATAACCCTGTATGAATGATCTGATTTATGAGTCCCTATTTCAGAGCCTGATGCAAAACATGGTATACAGAGATCAAAGTCATTACATTTCGCGCACCGAATATGCGTAATTCGAGAAATATCCAGAGCACAAACATCACAATGGTACTTATTTAAAGGCATATCTTGATTATAAATATTATGCTATTCCTTAGAAAAACGTTAAATCTATAAAAAATCTAAATGATTTCTAAAAATATTTTCTTCAAAAGTCTATAGTTTTGATAATAATTCAATTTATCCCATTCAGATTTCTAATAAATCTCATATAATTAATAATGTTAAGCCTATATTTATTAATAATATTATACTTTATTTATTTTTAGTCTTACTGAATGACATTAAGTGTTCGTTTTTTTTAATCTAAAATTAATAATAATTTTATTTTAATAAAAAAATAAGATTGAAGAGTAAGATTTAAAATGTTTTAAGTTTTAAACTAATATAATAAGAGTTTTGAATGAGTTTTTAATAGTAGTTAATTAAGCTTGGAGGCTTAAATACATAAAAGATGATAAAACGATTATTTCTTAAGAAAGATGTTGCTTTAAAACCATTTCATACACTTTTTCTTGATCAGAATGTTTTAAAAAGTAGTATGAGATATCTTTTATATAAACCAAGATTTCGTTTTTTTCATAATAACATTATACAAAATCATACATCTTTTAGTAAGTAAGATATGTTAGGAATTGGATAGTCTGATTTAGCTTTTTTAAAGACCATATAAATACGCCTGAGAATAATCCTGTATGAACAAAATTTTTAAAGCTGTTGATTTTTTGGTAAATTAATATTATATCTTTAGGATATCCCATTTGAATTTACTCCAGAGAATTTGAAGCGTTCTAAAGAAATAATTAGTAGATATCCTAGCGAATGGTTTTATCTATTTATATTTATTTATTTGAATTAATAATACTTATTAGGAAAAAAGCTGCTGTTATGCCTCTTCTTGATCTGGGACAACGTCAATTGGGTTATACTAGTATTAGGTAGGCATTTTTTATTTTGATTAGTTTTTTAAATATTTCAAGTGTTATGGATTATGTTGCAAAGCTTTTAAATATCCCAAAAATGCGTGTTTACGAAGTAGCAACCTTTTATACAATGGTATATTATTTTTGTTTATTTAAAAATATTCATGTTTCTAGTATAATCGTCAGCCTGTAGGAACTTTGGTACAGGTTTGCACAACAACACCATGTCAGCTTTGCGGATCAGATCAAATTCTAAAAGCTGTACAAGATTATTTAGGAGTTTCTCCTGGAGGTACTACATCTGATGGCAAGTTTACACTTATGGAAATGGAATGTGCAGGTGTAAGTTTTACTTTTATTTATTTGTTTTTTTTTAATTTTTAAAGGCATGTGTTAATGCTCCTCTTTTTGCTGTTGGTGATAATTATTATGTATATATTTTATTAATTTTTTTATATATGCTAATTAAAAAAAAAGGAAGATCTTGACCCCAATACTTGTATTGAGGTTTTAAAAATGATAAGAGAAGGTAAATCCCCAAAACATGGCCCACAATCTGGTCGTAAAAGCTGTGAACCTAAGTCGGGACTTACATCTCTTACTGATGAACCTTGGACTTCTTCTGCTGTCCTTAGGAAAGATGGTGCTTTATAATGAAATGTTTGGCTGTGCTTTAATATTTTCTTATTTTTTATAACAATAATATATATTAATTTTTTTGCTCGTGACTTAAGTTTGTACGATATCGGGATAAATTTTGGTTTTTGTAAATACATAGGAAAGAGCTTGTATGAATAAAATAGATGTCTTGGAAACTGTCAAAAAGTATGGATTTAAGAATTATTATTATATAATATAGAGGCTAATAAATTTTATGATAGAATTTAAGAATTCAACTCAGGGAATTTCACCAAATCGAGAATCATCAGGACATATGAACTCGGATAATGCAAATCCAAATCCAAATGCAAATTCAGATGCAAATTCAAATGCGAATTCAAATGCACAGAAGCCATTGCAAGATCAGGAATATGTAGTTAGACCGGGTATTCTTTCAGTAACAGTTGTGGAAGCAGAAAATCTAAGTCTTCCTCCTGGTATTTCTTTGCCAGAATCGTCTTCTGCAGAAAGACATTATACAATTAATGGGAGAAAAGGATCAAAAGATCGTTCTTTATTTTTTCCGTATCTTGTAGTTGAATTTGATAAGAATCAAACTTTGGTTGATGCATTGGATGGATCTAGTACAATATGTCATCCTCGATGGGAATATAAAATAAATTTGTAAGAGTTGATCTTATATAAATGAAGTTTTTCCATGTTTTTAATATATCAAATTTGTAGTGATGTTTTGAAGCCTTCCCAGCTTTCTATTCAGTGTTATCTACGTTTAGGTCAAATGCAAAAAGGGCATGGTTCTGGGAATCATATCTATTTGGGTGGAATAAAATTTATTCCTAATTTTTCTGAAACTGTAAGTTCATTTGTCTGTTTTTTTTTTTTTTGATTTTTATTTTCTTTCAAAATAGTCATTAAAGGATGAGTGGATGTCTATGCATGGTGGAACTGGGCAAATACGACTACAAGTATCTTATAAGTCAAATAAGGTTTGATCTTTTGCTGGTATATTAGTATTTTTTTTTATAATATTTTGCTAGAGCTCTCCTATTACAATAGATTCGTTTAAATTACTTAAGGTTGTGGGTAGAGGCTCATTTGGGAAAGTATGTTTATTATTTAATATAATGATTTATTGATTTTTGAAAAGGTAATGCAAGTCCGTAAAATTGTGAATTTTTTATTTTCAATGGTTTCTTTTAATTTTTACTTAGGATACATCATGTATATATGCTCTTAAAACGATTAGAAAGGCGCATATTGTTTCACGATCAGAAATAAATCATACCTTAGCTGAACGTACAGTTCTTGCTCAAATCAATAATCCTTTTATTGTTCCTTTAAAATTTTCATTTCAGTCACCTGAGAAACTATATTTAGTTTTAGCTTTTGTTAATGGCGGCGAGCTCTTTTATCATCTTCAACGCGAAGGACGTTTTGATCTTGAACGGTCTAGATTTTATGCTGCTGAACTGCTTTGTGCATTGGAATGCTTACATAATTTTAATGTGATTTATCGGTAAGATACTATTATTTTATATATTGAAATTTAATATTTTTAAGTGATTTAAAACCCGAAAATATTTTATTAGATTACATAGGTCACATTGCTTTATGTGATTTTGGTTTATGTAAATTAAATATTGCCGAATCTGAAAAGACGAATAGTATTTTTATATATTTTGATTGAATAGTGCTAAATTTTTTAAGCATTTTGTGGTACCCCAGAATATTTGGCACCCGAGCTTTTGTTGGGCCAAGGATATACTAAAGTAGTAGATTGGTGGACATTGGGTGTTCTTTTATATGAAATGCTTACCGGACTTCCTCCATTTTATAACGAAAATACAAACGAAATGTATCGTAGAATTTTGCAAGATCCTTTGCGGTTTCCAGATGATATTGACAAGGAAGCAAGAAGTTTATTGGCTGGGCTCTTGACACGTAATCCTGAAAAGAGGTTAGGGAATTTAGGTGCGGCAGAAATTAAATCGCATCCTTTTTTTTCAAGTATTGATTGGAAAAAACTATATACAAAAAAGATACAGCCGCCTTTTAAACCAAATGTAGAAAATGTTTGTGATACAAGCAATTTTGATCAAGAGTTTACAAATGAAACTCCTATCGATTCTGTTGCTGATGATTCACATTTATCAGAAACAATCCAGAGGAAGTTTCAAGATTGGAGCTATCATGGATCAAATGTAATTGATAGCTGTAATAATAATATAATTAGTGAGGGTTTAGAAAATATAGTGGAGTAAATATTAATTAGATATCTGAAATAAGTCCTAGGGGAGAAATGTTAAATGGAAATTTGTTGGTTTGAAATGTCAATTGATATTTATGTTAAACATGTTTTAGTTATTTTATTTTTACTTATTTATTTTGTCGTCTTTAACTTTTGTATGTATTTTAGAATATTTTTGGACTATTATGCGAATTATATTCACTAGTTATCTCCCCATAACTTTTTATTATATTTATCTGTTAATTTTTCATCATTACCATATTTCTTTTGCCATTCAACGAAACCGCCTCGAAGGACATATACTTTCTAGATAATGATAAGATTTTTTGCAAAAATAATAGCAATATACAGGAAAAATTTCTTCTTCTTGTATGCTTTTTATATTACGTATTTTTTGTTGTTCCATTAAGAATAATCTTGCTCCTGCTGGCCCTCTGCATTTTATAAATATTATCGTTTATTTCATATAAACATATAAAACCTCTGTTGAGAATAAGCGCAATAAAATATAACCTCTTTTGCATCTTTTGTTTCTTCAATAAGATTTAAAATACATGATGATAGCTCATGCGAGGGAATATGTAATGCACCTTTAATATGTCCACCAATAAAATCCTCATCTCTTACATCTACAATAACTAAATCTTTTCCTTTATTTCCTGTATTTTTGAGTTTTAAAGAAAGTTCTTGAGGTTCAATATATAAAATATCTTTCATCTAGATTTTCTGTTGCTATAGTAATAAATATATGTTTGTTTTTCGTGCTTGACGAAAATTATTTAAAAAATGGTAAGAAATTAAGGATATTGAGATAGTTGTTTACATTTAAAGGATTCATCAAACGTAGCTTATGAAGAGGCATTTTCATTGTTTGATAAACATGGAAAAGGTACTGTTTCTAAGGAATGTATTGGGGACCTTTTAAGGGCAGTTGGTCAGAATCCCACGTTATCAGAAGTCTCAGAGATTGAGGAATCTATAATGGATGAGGGTATTTTGTTTTTTCCTTTGTTTTTCTTAAGTAAATTTGGATATAGTTACTTTTGATACTTTTCTTCGTGTTTTGAATAGGCCAAATGGATTTCGCCCAGTAAGCGATCATGCAGAATTTATTCGTGGATTTCAGGTGTTTGATAAGGATTCTACGGGATTTATAGGGGTTGGCGAGCTTAAATATAGTATGAATGGTATTTTCTATTTTTAGACTTTTTTAATTGAGCTAGTATTGACGAATCTTGGTGAGAAATTGTCGGATGAGGAGGTTAATGAATTGTTAAAGGATGTTAATACTAAAGATGGTGTTGTAAATTATGGAGGTGAATTTTATTGAATAATTTATGTTTATAATTGAATTTGTTGTAGAATTTGTTAGGATGATTTTGTCCAATTAACATTGATTTGTAATTAAACATTAATGTTTTTTTTTTTGAGAATATATATATTTCTAAGAGATGTATATAGATTCTTGCGTTAAATACTTTCTGCTGAATTCTATGTTATTGTAATGTTTATACATAGTTTTTATTTGAAATATTATAATTTTTAGTTTAAATTTAAGAATTGTTATAACTATATTGATTGTCATGACAAATCTCTTCGATAGGGATGTATGAATCTCCGACTAGGAGGTCTGATACCTTTTCAAGAACAATTAAATATAATATTTGGAGGTTTGCGATACAAAAAGCAGAAATACTAGAGCCTATCTGGAGCCAGTCTCCTTCATTTTTGATAAGATAGAAAAAATTTAATGTTAAAATATCTGACATACTCAAAACTAGTGTGAATAATGTTGATGGAGGGATTCCTAATTTCTGATTAAGAACTCCTAAGTTAGCTGATATAATTATAAAAGGAATTAAGAGTTTATATAGTAAAAGTGCCGCTTGAGAAAATGGATTGAATATAGGAATTAGTCTATAGATCGAATCTAATACAAAAGAAGATACAGATGCAATATTTCCTGTTCCAAAAAATGCCTCTTGTATAAAAAAAAGATAAAATAATGCTATTCTTAGATTTTCATAAAATAAAAGTCTCTGATTTTCTTCTGATTTCCTATTTTTGTTCCAAAGTGTAATTTTCTTTCTAATTTTATACTCTATCTGAACCCATAATGCCAAAGTGCTAAAAAAACATATATAGAAGATATTTTCATATGAAACAGAGAGAATAACAAAAGAAGGTGAGAACATTAAGAAAATTATGAGAAGATTATGAATATAGTAGTTCTTTTTCCTCATTAGTGTTATAAATGGAATTATTAAAGAGAAGACTTTAGTTAATAAGATATTAAATAAAATTTATGTAGGATTTTTATACCTAAAACCAACCATCCGAGCACTTGGTTTCCAAATGGTAGACCTTTTTTGGCTTGTAATGATAATACGCTTGAATATGTTACTATTATTGAAAGGATAAGTAAGGCTAGCTATAAAATGACATTAATACAATTTGATATATATATATGTATATGTATATATACCTGAATACTGATGATAGTTTGCGGCATTTTGGTCATAGTTTTATGTTTTTTTAATAATAAGTTTCCAAAAATCAAGTATACAAACCCAAAAAGAAACATAGCAAAACCTCCAATTAAACTAAAATAATTAAAGTCTTATTTTTAAAAAAAGAATGAATACATTAAAGATAATTTTTCTTTTTTTACTTTATCTAATAAAGTAAACGTACTGGTTATAAAGGAATTTAGCATCCATAAAGAAATTAATATTTTGTTATCTCGAATAAATTTGGTTCCATATGTTAAAGGCCAAAATGAAATTAATATGAAGTATACTGTAAAAATCTCCCTTTGGGAATATCCAATAACCTGATGTTAATATTGTAAAATTATATAATATACTCCTTACTATAGTTTCTAAAAGAGCGATATATAGTATCAATTTCATGAAAAATATTATATTTTTGTATGGTTTTCTTGTATTTTTGAAAAAAAGTGTATAACACTTGTAAATATTTCTTCTGTTAATAAAAATATGTTCCCAAAAAAAAATAGGAAATATGACATATGCATAGTAAAATAATGGCGATTTTTCTATAAATAGTATAATAAATAGACCAATTAAAGAAAATGAAAAAAATAATGAGGATAAGATAGTTCTTTTAGGCCGATATATATATTTTGGGATATGAATATTGATGAGTTGAATAAATATAAATATAATCCATCCAAGATATCCTAATGTGATAATCGAAGACAAAAACATAAAATCGTATCTAAAAAATAATGAAATTGGTGGTCAATTTTAAATTTAACATACGTTTGTAGATATTGTAAACCATCTAGACACATTTTTATCATTTCTTCGCAAATTCTAATTGCTTCACTATATTTATGGTCGTCAATAAGAGTTTTGATATGATTTTTATAAGTATCTAAATTATGAGTTTCATTATTCAAGTGTTTAAATGGTTTAAATGCAATTTTTGTTAAGGATTTAAGTTCTAAGACTTTATTAAATACAAATTGTGGAATTATTTTAATTTTACCATGTTTTATTTTATATTGTTCTGCTATTTCTAGTGCGTTAGTAAAAGCTGCCTGAGATTTAATATCAAGAGGACATGATAAATAGTCTAAAGGTAGTTGACCAACAGAATTCATAGGAAAATTAAGTCCAAGAAGATAAGCCTAATCATTTTATTGCAATTTTTATAAAAGTAAATAAATACCATAAGTGGTGCAATGTCTGCTTGAAGAACATCTATACGTTTAACAGAGCTAATAGTCCAGTTTTTAGAAAAATCATCGTGGCCCGAAACATTTAGCTTATCTGGAAGATTTATTCCTGAACCCCAAGCGATTAAAGGAGTACGTGTATTATCTGGATGACCATCTCCATGTGATCCTAAATCACTCATCCCATGATCAGAAGTAAATATCCATGCTGTTTTTCCATCGTTGTAATAATTCTCTATAAATTCTACGATTCTTTTAATTCCAGAATCTACTACTTTTATGTTATTTAAGTATTCTTTTGAATATGGACGATATGAATGCCCAGCAGTATCTAGTCCAAGTAAATGAAGGAAAAAAACTATTTTGTCTTGTGATAGTGTCTCTTTTATAACTGAATTTGAGGTAGCATTTTCAAATAATTCTATAACTTTATCAAAAACCCATGTATCTAAAATAGTAGAATCTTTAATCATTATAAGTATAAATATATATTGTAAGTAATAAAATACCTTTAGAGAAATCTTCCATTTCTTTGTCATACATAAATGTTTCGACTCTTGAAATATCAGATGCACCATGAGCAAACATAGGTAAAATATCTGGTGAACCGAAGGACCATGTATGTTGGGATTGATTAAAAACGGAATCAAAATTAACAGGATTTGTTTTCCAACCTATGTGTAACATATAAGAATCTTCATAACAATATGTTTATTTTTGATACCTTTAGTAACTGCACTCACATCTTCATAGAAACCTGCTATAATAGCGACATGTCCAGGTCTAGATTCCGTTGGAACACGAGTATGAGATATCCCAAAACAACCTTTATTAAGTACAATTGACTGTAAAAATGGTGCGTATGTTTCATATACATTTGTTTCGGGGTTTAAATATGATTCAAATAATTTATCTGCTCTTAGACCATCTCCTATATAATATTAAGGATGAAACCATAAAAAACCTAACGAACCAACTATAAGAAAAAGTCGTTTTGCCGGAATATGATTTTCAACTTTGAATTGTTGCATTCCATGGACTAATGGCGATGTAAAGTAGATATCAAAGATAGATCGAAGATAAATAACATGAAATAAGATTCCTATAATTAATATATTTCTTCTAGAAAATTGATACATATGGCTAGTTTATATTTTTGAATTTTATATGAATTTTATGTTTTTTTTAGAAGTAGAAAGATATTTTATTATTATTGTTCTAAATAAAAATTTGTACTTTTGAACTTCTAAAATAATTTTTATTGTAAATTTCTAGATTACGTTTATTAATATACCTGTATGAAAGATGAGTAGAAGTTTTATAGATATTTGACTTTTTAGAGAATTAGAAATAGAATTCAAAATGCGAGATTTATAGTAGAAATATTTTTTCGAGTATTAATAATATATAAATAAATGATGGTATTTAAAGAATATAAAAAAACTGCTATATATTACTGTAGAACATGGTTTTAAGTTTATTTGTCTAATATTTTTGATATTTATAAAATTCTTAAGTATAGCTAACTAAAACCTTTGATTCATTGAATATTTATAAAAACAAGTAAATATCTTTTAATATCTATGCATTTTATTTTTATATAGTACTTTTTATTTAGATTTGTTACACTTTTTTATAAACTTTTATATAAATTTTAATAGATTGAGAGTATCTTTTATAATTAGTTATAAATATTATTAATTTGTATTTTATTTCATTTTTGGTTTATTTTTTTTGGAATTCTATTATTTTTATATATTTTTATTGTTTTTTATTTAGGATCTTTTAAAGATTTAATAAGGAATTCTAAATGCTTTGTATGAAATTAGAATATAATAATCTTCTAGAATTTGTTTTATTGATTTATTATGTGACTTATAATAATTCTGTATATTTTTGTTATACTCTTTAAAGGATTTTTATAAACCAATTTACTATTTATTGTATTTAATATTTCTATTTTTAATTATATATTTGTAAATTTATGTGAAAACAATATTTTAATATAAGACGAAAATTATTTGATAGATTTATTAATGTTATATGTTTTGTTTAATTTCTTTATCATTTAACAAGTAGAAATATTTTGAGTTTTGTAGATTAAGTTATACAAAAAAATTGAACCTTTTTAATTATATAAATAAATAATATTCCTGGATGTTTTATAGAACCTATATGTTAATAAGATGTATAAACCAGATAAATGCTTTCACAGTGTTTTATTATATTTTTCGGAATTCGAGTATGTATGTTTAATAGCTGTTTTCTAATTTAAAAATATTTATGTGATTTGATATATCATTTTAATGTTAAGAAATCGAAAATGCTTGAAGAAATAAATGAAAGTTGCTCTTAAAGTTATTAAATATCATATTTCGATATTTCATGGTATTTCTAATATATATTATTGCCTTATTTAGGAATATAATTAAGTGTTTTTGAAGTTTATATCCCTTTATGTTTCATTTCTTTGACAATTGAAACCAAACGACGTATACTAGCTTTGAAACGTTTTCTATGGCGTTCACTGCGCAAACGGTTTCTTTTTTTCGTAGGTTTCTCATAAAACCTGCCCATTCTTTCATCACGTCGTACATTGTTTTGTTTCAGAAGAATATCTAAAGATCTCCATGAAGAAGCAATATCCTGATTTTTTACTTCCCGAGATGCTGCTCGATTACAGATAGGCAATTTCTGATGTTTATTTTGTAAATCATCATCATTATTATTATTATTTTTTAAAGAATCAAGAGGCATAAAGAAAGTTGGTGATTGTTCAGATGTTTTTTTTAATGATGAAATAGGTTCAATAGTTTTTGATTTATAATCGTTGTGAATTGATTCATTTACTTCTTTTTCAGGAAATAACGTGCCTTTATCTTCTGTTTTTTCATCGCACTTAAACAGAACTGTAGATAGATGCTTTATTTCTTTTCCTTGATATTTTTCTATTAAAATTTTTGTTTTCCACAATATAAATTTTCCTTGTAGAAAATTTGAAATTCTGTAGTTTAAAAGATTTCGAGAAAATTGATTGATAATCTTCATGTCCCATTTGTTTTCCAGAGAAATATTTTGTTTTTATATTATATTTTCCTGTTTTTTATAGATTTTTTTATTAATTGTAAACCGAGGATTTTAAGGTTCTGAATTTATGATTTTGAAAATTCTATAAAAAAATATTGTATTGATAGCAATTAAGAAATTCCGTGTGGATACTTGGGTGTAATATTTACTAAACTATGTACTATCCATCTCAAGGACCTTATGGAACAAGTAAATTTTATTATATATTAAATGAATTCTAAATGTAATTATAATTTTTAGATCCTCAGTATGGATATCAAGGATATCAGGCATATCAGCAGAATTTGCAAGCGCCTCCTGGTTATGCGCCCAATGCTATGCCTCCTCAGACTGTAGGATATGGGGTTCCAACAAATATGTCAAAAATAGACTTTAATGCACCGGTTATTCATTTTGGAGCAAATATCAATCAAATGAAACCTCAGGCTGCTGTGATCACATCTGCTCCTGTACTTGTTCCAAAGACAGCGCCTGTTCGTGATACGCCGAGTCTTTTGCAGCCGCCTACTGTAGAACAACAACTTAGAACGTTATTTATTTGTTCTATTCCTGATTATTTAGATGACTTTTGGATTGATAAAATTTTGAAAGTATTTTTTTTGAGAAAAAAGATTAAAGTTAATGCTTTTAAGTCTGTTGCGAAGCTGAAAGAATGGAAAAGAGCTAGTAATGCGACTGGTTCTCTTCGGAATTTTGGATTTGCAGAATATGATGATCCTGAACATGTACAGAGGGCTATTATAGTTTTAGAAAATCTTGTCATTCCTCCTCCTAAAGGAGATGGAGAAGGTTCTAAAATTATGGTAATTATATTATTTTTTTCATCATATTGTTTGTTGATTTGTAAGGTGGTAGTTGATCAAAAAACTCGTGAATATTTAGATGAATGGAATGAAACAAGGGAGAATAAGAATCCAGTATGTATTATTTTTGACAGGTTATTGGTATTAATTTATTTTAGCAACGAGATCGAAGTCTTATTATACAAGCTAAGAGTAATCTTACTAAAGTTCTTGAAGATTTTAAAGATCCTAATAAACGCTTCCCAAAAAAAACATCTTCTGATGATAGTTTCAGGGAATCGCAAGCCTCTGAAAGTAAAGATACTTCTAAGGCGGCTACTATAACACTTAATGTAGATGATGAATTAGAAGATATACCTATGGAGCAGCGCGAGGCTGTTGCTCGTGAAATATCTTCCTTTAGAGAGAGATCTGAAAGAAGAGAACATGAGAAGTTAAAGAGGGAGGAAGAAACGGAAAGGAGAAGATTGGAGCTTGAAAGAATGTCTGGATTGTTTGTTTCTTCTAAATTCACTTCTCAAGCAAGTAATTCCACTAGTCAAAGAACAAAAAATGATAGTATTCAACTTTCAAATTATTCTGATAATTTTTATGGTCAGATGTCGAAAGATTATCAAAAATCAGTAGCATTCGTATCAAAAGAAAGTAATGGTTATGGTAAAAGTCATGAAGATGAACTAGATGATACAAGAACATGTGAAGAAATAGAGAAAGAAAGAAAAAATAGAAAACAGAAAGAACTAGAAGCTGCATTTCAGGAGGTAATGATATTTTGTTTTATAATTTAATTCTTATATAATGTTTTAGAGAGAAAAAAGATGGTTAAATAGAGAAAAATCACGAACATCTGCATTAGAGCGAGAAATGAATAGAGATAAAGAAGAAGCGTCTCGTGAAGCTAGAGATAGGGAAATTATGTCTCGTCGATTAGCTGAGTGGAATGATGATTTAGAGGCTGAAGCAGGTGTAGAAGAATACTATAAAGATAGATCATCTTGGTTGCGACACAGGGCAATATTTCGTACTAGAGAAATGGAAATGGATGCACGTGATCGAGCTTTAGAAGAACGTCAAGAAGCAGAAAAACTCAAAGCTAGTATGAATGCTGATTCTCTTTCCAAAAAGCAGGCGCTGGAATATAAACATGCTGAATCAGGGATTAGTAAAGATTCAGGAATTGGTCCTATTAGACTTACTCTTAGTTCTGCTAAGAAACAAACAGATGTTCCAAAAAGAGTTGTTTCAGAAGTTGAAAAACTTCTTGAAGATGATGATGATCATTACATTGGAAACAAAAAACCTGTATTATTGCCCCTAGAATATGATGATACCGAGGCTGCTGAGGATGATGAATCTAAAATTAGAAGAATTAAAGAAATTGTTGCATCAGTTCCCTCTGAAAAAGAGGGGCTATGGAGTTGGTCTATTAAATGGGACCGTTTAACTGATGTAAGTCATTTTATTTTTATAGTTAAATATTATTAATATAACATTAGTCTATTATTGAGGAAAAAATTCAACCGTTTATTACAAAAAAGATTGTCGAATATGTTGGTGTTCAGGAAGATGACCTGATTACGTTTATTTTAGATCATTTACGAAAAAAGGGTAGTGCTGAAGAACTCGCAAAAGAGTTGGAAATGGCTATGGATGAAGAAGCTGAATTGTTTGTTAATAAAGTATATAGATATGTCATTGTTATATCTGAAGCCTGTATATAGTTAAATTGTTTTTTGCTAATATAATTATTTTTGGTAGTTGATCTTTTTGAGTTATATTTTGACTTTGAAATTTTAGAGAAATTTATGATTTAATCTAGAAGATTTATATTCACAGTTTTTAAAGACTCAACGGCCCATTTAGGATATTTTTTTTCGGAATATAACTTATCAAATGCTTTTTTGACAAAAACAGGAAATTCGTCATGAATAATTGCATTTCTTATTTCTTTCATTAGATTTAATTGATAATGAATATTGTGAATTGTTAATAAATGTGCAGCGACTAACTTTATTAGAAGAAAATATAATAGTATACTTTACCTGTTTCTTTGCATACTATATGATGAATATACGTCCTTGTTATTCCCCATTCCCCTGGTTTGCAGCAAGGGCATTTGCAATTTTTGTCAATAGGATTATAATCCTTCGAAAAACGTTGATTACGAAGATTCAAAACACCATATGGTGTAAGGGCATTACCAAAACGCTAAAAGATTAAAAAAGAAAAAACTGATATCTAATGTTTACCGCTGTTCGTGTAGGATATACACAATCAAATTGGTCAATTCCTAATGCAACACTAACGATAATATCTTCTGTATATCCCTAAATAAATCAATTGATATTTTTTTTGTATGTTATTTTTTACAACACCCATAAGATATCTTGGTTTATTCAAAGGTAGCAAATCCGTACAAATTGAAACAATTTTAAATGTTTGGGATTTATTTTCGCCTCCACTTAGTCCACCTATAGCTATTCCAGGGGTTTCTCTTTTTATCATTTCCAAACAACATATTGTTCTTAATTTTTCATTAAGTCCTCCTTGAATAATTGCATAAAGACTCTGTTTTTCTGGATTTTTGTTTGCTGCAATGCAACGATCAAGCCAGCGTATACTTCTCCACATTGCTTCTTCAATTCTTTCTAAAGGAGCAAGGGAATGGACAACGTCATCTAATTGCATCATAATATCGGAACCAATACTATTTTGTAATGAAATGGAATACTCTGGCGTAAGAAGCATAAGAGATCCGTCATAAGGACTATGGAATTCAACACCTTCCTCAGTAACACGAGATAACTTTAGAAGTGAAACCATTTGAAAGCTTATTAATATTAATTGAGTATTAGGATTTAGGAATTGATAATACCCTCCACTGTCTGTCAATAGATTATGGGGCCATTGCTGAAATATGTGAGCTCCGCCAATTGTATCAAGAATTGATTGTCCTGGACGAAGACCAAGATGGTATGTATTGTTGAGTATAAGACGACAACCAAGACGTTCTAATTGTTTAGATGTTATTCCCTTTAATGTCGCCTACAAAGTTTAGCTAAGTATATAAATGATAGAATAATTAACTTGTGTAGCTGCAAAATTATCAAAAATATTTAAAGAAGTGAATGAGATCTACCAACCGGCATAAACACAGGTGTTTCAACATTCCCATGAGGTAATGTTAGAAGACCCGCTCTTGCTTTTGATGTTGAGCATTCTCGTATAATATTAAAGTTTAGTGCTTTGAGAGGCATAGAGTTTATAGAAAAGATAATTGATAATTAACAAAAATTGAGCTTTTGATACATTAATTTGATATAAAAAATCTATTTATAGATTAGATGTCCATTTGGCGCAATGGTAGCGCATTCCTCTCCTATGCGTCAGAAGGAAAGGTTGCGGGTTCGAGTCCCGTAATGGATGGTTTTCGTTCATCCATATAGTTTTTGTTAAGCATTTTAGTAATAAGATCAAATATGGTTATTAATGAAAGACTTTAAACTGTTATTTTTCTACTGAAAATATTCTTTTGTTTAATATGTTAATCAATTTTGTATAGCATCACTATATTATACATAAATATAGGACGACTTTTTTTAGTAAAAGTTTAGAATTAGTACTAGCATTTGTAAAAATATTCTGTGTTATAATGTGCCAATTGTTCAAATGCTTAATTATGTATAGATCAGTTATATATTCTATAAGTTGTTATTAATTTAACATGATATTTTTAAAAGTGAATCTAGTAGAGTGTACAGAAAAAGTTATAATGTAAATATATTTTTCAAATGGACATTTTCATTTTTATAGTTTCATATGGATGATAGTTTTGAATATTAAAATCATCTAATGTAAAATCTTCAATATCAGTGATTGAGCGATTTAAAGAAAGAGTGGGAAAAGGTCGTGGGGAGCGTGTAAGTTGTTGTTGTAGTGCTTCAATATGATCCTTATAAATATGACAATCACCTACAGATAATTAAAATTTGCTTTTTTTAAAAAAAAAAATAGTGTTTACCCATGACATGGATAAAATCACCTGGATCAAGATCACAAACATGTGCAATCATGCATGTTAGTAGAGCATACGATGCAATATTAAAGGGAACACCTAGCCCCATGTCACAAGAACGTTGGTATAATTGACATGAGAGTTCAGGTCGGTGGTTATTCGATGGTATATGAACATAAAACTGACTATATGTGGTTGTAAGCTTTATGGTTTCATATATAGGTTAAATATGAATATTACCAAAACATATGGCACGGAGGTAATGCCATTTTTTCTAAATCTAAATAGTAATAAGCAATGATATTGAATTGATAAAAGAGTATGCCTGCAGGATTCCATGCTGAAAGTATGAGTCGACGATCATATGGTGATGTTCGTATTTTTTGGATAATATTGGCTAATTGATCAACACCTTGTCCAATATAATTGGTTTTGCAATCAATATATTCTGCTCCAAAATGCCTCCATTGAAACCCATAAATGGGACCAAGATCACCTTCCTGGCGTTTAGTCAATCCAATTGAGTCAAGGTACTCTCGTGATCCATTTGCATCCCATATATGAATATTTTTCTCTCTAAGTTTTAAAGAATCTGTTTCTCCACGAATAAACCCTATATGACATTAAGAGCATATCTATAAGTTTCAGATATTTTTTACAAAGCAATTCTTCAATTACTCCACGTATAAAAACTCGCTTGGTTGTTAAGAGTGGAAATGTTTTATTTCGAAGAGAAAACTTTAGCGGAGACGGTGCAAAAACAGATAAAGTCCCTGTCCCTGTCCTATCAGGGCGGTCTTCCCCATGGTTAATAATATATTGTACTAAGTTGAGATATTGTTGTTCTTCTGCGTTTACCATGTTTTAAAGTATTAAGTAACAATTTTTTTCATTTGCTTTATAAATAATAAAGTTTTGGGGAAAAAAGAAAGTATTATTTAGGACTTTCTGAAAAATAAGTTTTTTTTTAAAAAAAAAAACTTATTAATTATTGCAAAAATTGATATTCGATCAAATTCAGAACTTTAAAATTGTAATAAAAATAAAGTAATATTTATGACGGGTTTTTTTGATTGATCTCTTCAGTTTCTCTTGTATCACGTCTGTGTAGTTAGTTTATGCATTTTTTCTATTAGAAAGGGTTATATTTTGAGACTGATATGCGTAAAAAACATACAAATATATCTAAAAATAAAGAACGAAAACACGCAATTGATTGTGATTCTAGTTTTAATGAGCAAGATGATAGCATAGATGAATTGGTATCGTCTTTAAAATCAAAAAAGAATCATACGAATAGAGAAACTCCATTACTGAAAATATTAAATTCAGGAAAATTAGATTCATCTGAGAAGGAAAATATTTCTTCAAGATATTCTGGAACAATAGAAGCAAAAAGTTTGAAAAGGCGCTTTGAAAAGGATATTACTCCAGAAAATAACTCTAAAAGTAGTCAAAAGCAACATGTTCAACAAGAGGTATTGCAAATAAGACAAAATGATTCAAAACGTAAGTTTTTAGATATTTATGACGAAAATATCGATATGGAAAAAAGGCTTAAAGAGGTAGTAATTTCTTTAGTTTTAAAGTAAATTAATAATTATAAGACAATTCGAAAAATGGAAGAGTTTGAGAAAAAATATAACTGTCTTAAAAATCTTCGTCAGACAGAAGTTGAATCTAATTTTCTTGCTTATCAAGAAATAGCTGAATCTAGGTTTAAGGGTAGATTGTTTTTTATATAATGCTTTTTTCGCATTTAATTTTAATAGTTTCTCAAACACTTATTGATAGTCTTACTAAGGATATTGACATTAAGGATAAGAGATTGAACGAATTGTCATCTTCTCTAAATGATTTAAAAGCGCAAAAGCAAGAGTTTGAGAAAATATCTGAAAATTGTATATTTGTTTTTACTATGACTATTCGTATTTATTTTTTTAGTGAAATCTACAGAACAAGCTCTTAATCATGCAAAATCGCAAATTGCATATTTAAATACAAAACTCTCTTCACGTTCTAAGTTGCCTATGGCGCAATTGAAAGAAGAACTTTATAGCGATTTAACAGGATTGCTTATTCGTGATGTTAAGTCGGATCCTAAAAAAACTGTTTTTGATTGTTTGCAAACAGGTCGTAACGGAAGTAAGTTTTATTACTGTTATTTTTGAATATTAATGTATCCAGCTCTTCATTTTAAACTTTCTCTTTTTTCTGACCCTTCTTCTCATTTACAAGAGCGATTTTCTTATACTCCTCTATTTGATCAAGAACGAGATGCTTTTCTTTTGAATTGTTTACCAGAATATCTTACTGATGAAATTATATTTGAAAAAGATCAAGCTGCCATGTTTAGCTGGAGGCTGTCGAATGCTTTACAAAAGAAAGATTGATTGGCAATATTGTAATTATTTTAGTTTGTTTTTGGTAATTTTTATGCTTTATATTGTATATATTAGATTATTAATATATAGTTAAATTTCGATAGAATTGTTTTATTATAGATATTGAAAGTTTGCTTTTGAAAAAAATAATAGGTTAAATAATGAAAGTTCTTAAAAAGATTTTTAGGGGTTTCTATGGTCTAAGGCTTGTTCCTTATGTTAGTAAGATAGATCCTGTATCTAATCTTAGATATATACAATATCCTTATGATATTACATCTCCATTATCTGTTAAGTTGCATGTATTGGATATATATTGTCTTTTTTGTATTTTTAAATTTTCTTTAGGAAAGAAGGAAAGATATTTTTAAAAAAAGTCAAATTTTCTGGAAAAACAATAATACTCTTTATTTTAAAAAAATGGAAATGTTTTACAACGATATTATTAAAAAAAAAGGCATAGTTACTGATGATGATATGATTGTATTTTATAGTGATTATTTGAAGAGTTCTAAGTCAGAAATGAGGAAACATCAATGGTGGTGGTATTGGCAAATTTTTGGTATTTTGATAGATAGTTTTAAGGTCTGGGTAAATAATGTTGCAGACCATTCTTCTTTTTTTTTTCATGTATATAGGAAAAGATAGTGAATATATTTGAGGCTGTATATCAGAATGTGTTTATTTCTATATACATTTCCAAATAATTAACTTTAGAAATTCCAGTATTGTAAAAAATATTTTAAAATGACATAAAATTTAAAATTATATTATACCTACTAAATTATATAAATGTTTAATAAAAGAACTTGAAAAATGTTATTAGTGTACTATTTGGTATATTATTTTATAGTTACAGGACAAATTAGGGTTATGATATGTTAAATGTTATTTTTAATTAGCTATATTAGTCTTTAAATTTGTAGTATAATTATTATTATTGATTAATGAAGTCTTTCTAAGTTATATTTTTACGTATCTTTTCAAAAGTATTTATGATCTGATTATGGTTTTATATATTTATTGAAAACGAGTATAGGTTTTTATTTCGTAGATATAAATATTTTGAATTTCATATTAAAGTTAAGAAAAAAAATGTTTAAATCTTGATTAAAAGTCGATTTTATATTTTTTTTTTGTATTTTTAATTTCCTTTAGAGACGATTTTATAAAATATTGATAGTTTAAAATGTTAAATAATTTATATATAATTTTATTTTATATTATAAATAACTTTTTAATAGAATTTTTTTAATAATAGATGAGAAATTTTCTACTTGAAATATTCTTAGTTGAATTTACAATAGGGAATATAATATTTAATTATTAAATTGTTAAAAGTATTAATATATAATGTTATATTTAGATAGATAGATAGATAGATATTAAATTAAAACAATTAAATTTTATTAGTAAAGAATATATATCTATGACTTCGTATGTTTTTAAATAAGTTCTAAAACAAAAATATAATGAATTTCGAGAATAACTTCTTGATATATATGAATATTTCTAAATTTTATTACTTAAAAGTAAACGATTATTTTTTCCTGTATTTAAAGCTTTATTAATTAAATAAATTGTTTATGTGAATCAACGATAAATTATTAATTTGGAATACTTAAAAATTATATTTCGAACCGAATTCATATAATATATTGGATAGTTTTTGTGCACCATGATTTAGTACTTCTCTTAAAAAATATTAGTTATTTAAATATATTTTTTTAGAAATAACCTGATATTTTCAATGTCATTGTATGCCGTATCTGCAAATTTTTGAATATAATCTTTAGCAGATTCTTCGAAACATTTATAATCCCGAGTATTTGTATCATTTTCCCCAAAATATTGGTCTGAAGAAATAGATTGAGCGCCATTAAACGCTTGTAAACGTAACTTGGTCTCTTCCTGAATAGCTTGGTTATATGAATTCCGTTGAAAATAACTATTTTTTGGTCAATTATTAATGTAATCTAAGAGCTAAAGAATAAATAATACTTGTCTGATGATATAGACTTTTGTCCAAAAAAATTATCACGAGCATATGTAACCTCATCTGAAATTAATTAATACAATTGTCGATAATAAATATACGAAAATATACCATTACAAGAATTTCCTGTTGTTGATCCTTTTTTATAAGATAAGTTTGTTTCAACTGATTTGGATGTACTTTTCGTTTGTCCAAAACATAATTTCTGAAAACCTGTTGTTGCTTCTTTAATAGAATAATCAGTTTTAAGGTCTGGTTCTGAATCCCCAAAAAACGATTTATTAGAGTTATTTAAATCTTTTTTTTCTAATTCTACTTGATTTTTTTCGACAGTATGGTTTAAATTACTATCATTTTTTTCTTTTGCATTTTTTTCAGCTTCTTCAAAATCAAACGTTTCTGCTATTTTTTTGGCACCAAGCTTTTGGGTAAGTTTTGATCCTGTTATTCCTGTTCTTTTATTTGTAGAAACATCTGATCTCAATTTAGATGTGTTTAAAATGCTATTTTCTTTTAATAAAGTAGAATTCGTAGAATCTTTATAATTGTTAGATATTTTTGTTGTATTATCAACCTCTGCTTTGTCCAAAAATGAAGTTTTTGTATTACATGTTAATGTAGATTTCTGAAACGTATGATCATTCCATTGAGCAAAAAAATCATCATCCGCATCATTATTTATTAATGAATGTTCATCATCTTCTATTTTAATAGAAGAATTACTATTAAATAGATTAGAAGTTATATTTTAAATAGAAAATTAATACGATTTAGAATCCAAAAGGGCTCTTTGTTTTAATTCATCTTTGTATAATATAGCTGTTTTGCTAGTATATTTTGTTTTCACATCTTTTGAATCTAAAATAGATGTTCCCCCATGTTTGGTAAAGTATTCTAATGCAGATAAGTTTCCTCCTACTTTCATTATACGAAGCTGATCCCATGTCCATGAATCTAAAATAGTTGATCTATTTATTATAAAAATATGTTTTATTTCATAAAATAAAATATAACTTACCTAACAAATGATATATGAACGCCCAAATTTCTATGAATTGAGCTACAATCTAGACAAATGTAAATCCCAAAAGTTGTAGCTGCCCATGTTGCTCCATTTGCTCCACAATCAAAACAGTTCTAGAAAATTGTAAGAATTTGAAATTAATATTCATTTATTTATTTTTAATATATAAATCTTTATTTTTAATTATTTTTACCTGATTATATTTTTGAGCTCTTAATTTTTTAAAAATATTTTGACTTTCCTCTCTAGATGCATGAATCATATTTGATTTATTTTGTTATTTTTAGAGGAAGAATTTAATAGTAATTTAAAAATAAATTTATCGTCTTTTTTGTCTGTTTTTATTCGGAATACCTTTTAAGATAATTTCTACATTTAGTAAAATAAGATTGATAGCGATCAAAATAAAATAATAAATTAATGTATTCGAGAAGTTTTAATTGTGCTAAAGGGCTTTGCAATAGTAGGAATAGTATAATTCAGATATCAAATCAGTTCCGATGTATAAGATTATATAATACTGATCGATTTTTAAATTTAATACAAACATTAAAAAAAGATAAGGGAAAAATATTTTTATTCTTTAAGGATGATACAACAAAGTCATGGAAGCAGCTTCGTTTTATGGAAAAGGCTAGTCGGATGGTTTCAATTAGCTTAAAATTATCTATTATTATTCTAGGAGTTGTTGTTTTAGTAAGTAAAAATATTGTCGTTGAAGTCATGAATTTCGAAGTCTTTAGCAAGCTACTCTTTAGGAAGTTATCTTTTTGTTGTAGAGGCTCCTGCCATAAATACGTCTCTTGAATATATAAAAAATAATGAGGAGGTTAGTAGAAATTTAATCGAAGAAATTAATAATAGTCAGTGTAAAAGATTACTTGGAAATAATATAAAGGTGTTTAGTGGGTCTTTTCAAAATAGTATTCGTCGAAATTCATATATACCGTTAGTCATTGAATATTTTTTTAATATTTTTAATTATTTTAAATAAGATCTCAAAGAATAATAGAGCCAGATGGTCGTGAACAATTAATTATGCGATTTTATGTAAGAGGGGATAAATCCGAAGGTGAAGTAGGTCTTAAAATGATTAGAGTTTGTATATATATATATACATATACATATATATATTAATTTATTTAGAAAACATCTGAAGAAAGTTTTCAATATCAATATTTATATCTTGATGTAATGGGTATGTATTATTTATTCGTTTCAATAAGAATTTATTTAGAAAAAAAGTTGATAATTCTCTTCAAAGGATATGGCTAATTGATGTCAATAAAGTTAAAAATGAAACGAAAAAAAACAATTTTCTTTTACGTTTCTGGGGATTAAGATAGTAAATGTTACTTTGGGTGACTCTATCTATGTTGCATACAGATTTCTTAATTGATTGTTTTCATATAAAGTTTCTTATTTGATTTATAAATTCGAATTGAAATTTTGAAAATGTATTAAACTCTTTTTGGTGTTATACAAATATATAATCTTTAAATATTTAATATTGAAAATTTTAACATGATGTAGTTTTAAAGGAATCTGTACTGAGTTATAGTAAATTTATTATATTTTTTTGTGATAATTAATTCCACGCATAAGTACAACTAATAAAATAAATAAAGATTTGCTTATAAAGATAAAAGTACCTGTATCTCCAGTTATGATACAGTCACCAATTATTTTTGAGGGTTCTAATATTTTTCCTGATTCTATATGCATTAAATGAAGTTTCTATTTTTGTTATTTTATATATATTGATAAAAGATATTTCTTTACATCATTCTCGTTTTTAGTTGATGAATTAACATTTTTGATGCCAATATTTTTACTAAGATAATCTAATGATCGACCACATGACCAATCCTACTAAAGTTAGATTTTAAGTTTAATTTTTACTTTACTTTTGAAATATAAAAAAATTTTTGAGTTAGAAAATCACTATTAGAATACGAAAACTTTACTTTTATATACAATCTTGATGAAAGGGGTATTGATGTTTCTCCTTTAGCTTCTTTTTTTAATTTTAAAATGGCGATATGTGTTGATTTTGATTTTTGACAGCTATGTAAACATCTGAAAATCCGGTGCCATAATTCAGAAAATTTTATATTGTTTTTAGAAGATTTTTTTGTTTCAGAAGATCTATTGTTTTTAGGTTTCAAAGGATCAAGGTTTTTATCCCAATAGTCAATAAGATTTTTTGGTGAGCTTTTTTTTTTTAATGTTGGAACTATATTTATGTTCCTTGATTTAAAAGCTTCAAGTTCTTTTTCGCAATCATGATTTTCTTCATTTTTATGATCATTGCTAAAAGTATTAAATTTAGTAATAAGTAAATATAAAAAATGACCAAAATTCTTTATTGCAATATAAGCATTTAAATGGAAGATAATCTAGATAAAAATTAACGATAATAATAATTCAAAGAAATAATATAACCCAATCTTCTGCAAGAAGGATATGAACAATATGAACCTATATTTGGAAATTCCATAAATTTAGGATATTTCGATAATTGATAATCGTTTAAAAAAGTATATAAAAAAATATTTTAAACATAAAATAGATTTAAAGCAAAAAATATATCAGATTAAGACATTAGAATTTATATCTCAAGAAAACTGTTTTCTAATATTTAATAATATTAATATTATATTTATTATTAAAAAGTATATAAATTATAAACGTTGAAATCTATTTTACAAATTAACTAATTATAACAAAAAGTAAAAAGAAAATCGTTAATATTCCAAATATCTATATCTATGTAAGCTCAAGAGAATGTATGAAATAAAACTAGCCTTGAACATAAGCCATCTATTACTACTAATTCTTTGATAATATTTTAAAAGTTCTTGCTGCGCTGAGCTAATATTGGTAACAACATCATCTGTATTAGTACTAATTCTTTGAACAGTTTCTCGCTGCTCTGCTACCATTTGAGCAAGTTGAGAAAAAATGGATCCTAATTCATGAATTGTAGATTCTATACTTTGGATTGCTGATGAACGGGAACTTGTATAGGAGTTTTGTTCTTCTAACAATTGCATCTGTTGAAATGAATCATAAGGAAGTATTTTAGTGTTAGATTTTTCATTATCCATATTTAAAACAAGGCAATCTGAATTAAATTTCATAAGTTGTGTACCATTATTTTTATGTTCATGTTCTATATAAAGAGGAGACTTGGATTCCTTTCCTGGATCTTTTAAATGTATTGTAGTTGCCATAAATTGTTCACTTCTTTTTTTATTTGCTTTTATATTCTTAAAAACTTGTAATTAGGATAATGTTAATTTAATAAGATAGAATACTACCTTTGTCCGTATTTCTAGGGCATTTTTGAATGTCATGCTTGTATTTGCTAGCTTATTTTGCAAAAGTACTATTACATTTTCAAAATGTTCATGCTCTCCTTTGTTTTTATTTTTGTCATTTTTTGGTTTTTGTTTAAGATATTCTCGAAGCTTTGAAATTCCTGAGTTCAAGTCTTCAATATCTTGTCTTATAATATAAATCAGTTCTGAGGTCTCTGTAGGCTTATCATCAAATAATGTTTTTCTTTTAGCTACTAAAATTTATTAATTTTTCATAAAATAAACGATAAAAATTATTTACGTTGTGTAAGTCTTTGTAGTTTTTCTCCTGTTTTGTTAATATCTTTAGCTATTTTATTTGCTATATTTCCAAAATCGTTTTTGATATGTTTTTTTGATTCATTTATGCTTGGTACATTTTCCTTATATTGGGAATAAAACTTTCTTGATTCTTTTGACTTCTTTAGAGTTAATGCACATGCATGAAATTCTCTTGTACGGTCTTGAATAGACATATTTAAACATTAAATATTTATATTTTTAAAAGTTGTAAGATCTGTCGAGAGATTTTAAAATAAAAATGATATTTAAAAGTTTAAAAATATTTCCTTTTTATCAAATTTATGGTTTTAGGTTTTTAAAGGGGATGATATTTAAGAAAAAAATCCATTTATCTAAATTGAATAAAAATCATGATTTAATTCATATTCATTCATTAACTTTGAAATCTATTGTAGGAAAGAATTCGTGGGCTCAAAGATTGCTACAACCAGTTGTACTTACACTTAGTATGGGAATCAATGCTTCTTTGTCTGGAAACATGGACGATTTATCTTATTCTATAGATTATGCAACAGTTTATAAAGAAGTTTTTAAATTGGTTGAAAATTCTAAATTTGAAAATCTACTAGACTTATCTGATAAGATTTCCAAAGTTGTTCTTGGAGATAAGTGCAAAGGGAATTGGGTTAAAGTTATAGCGGAAACGCCTAAAGGACATTTGTTAGCAGAAACCGGATTACAAATTATAAGAAGAAAAGATGGTATTAGAGAAATCGATGATCAATTTTTTATAAAGAACTTAAGTCTTTATACAATTATAGGTATAAACCCAGAAGAGAGGGTTAATAAACAGAATATTATTATTGATTTAATATTGTTCAAGTCATCTATAAATTTAGAATGTAAAGATGATTTTATTATAAATACATATAATATTGAAAAATTACTGAAAGAGATTGTTAAAGTTCTACTATTCTTTATGTTTTTGGCTTTACTAATGAATTTAGCATGTAGAGGAATCGACTTTTAAAACTATAGAAGCTCTTGCGTTGTCTATAGCAAGAATTTCATGTATATCACATAATATTGAAAAAATAATAGTCAAAGTGAAGAAATCTTGTGCTCTTGCTTTTGCTGAATCAGCTGGTGTTGAAATTGTTAGGTCTCGTTCTTGTTTTTCTTCTAATAACTATATTAAATCTGAAAATTCTATTGATAATGAAGCCGTTTATATATCACTTGGTAGTAATCTTGGGAATAGAATTAAATTTATATTGGATGCCATAGAAAAAATGTCTATAAAAGGAATAAAGGTTTTGAAAACATCTATGTTGTATGAATCAAAGCCTATGTATTTTAAAGATCAGCCTGCATTTTATAATGCAGTATGTAAGGTTTATAATATTTCTTTTTTTATCAATAAAATATTAATGAATTAAGGTTCAAACTTCTCTACATCCTGAGCAACTTTTGTTTGAATTGCAATTAATTGAAAAAGAGCTTGGGCGTGTTAAAGTTATTGATAAGGGCCCACGGTGTATTGATTTAGATATTGTTTTTTATGGTAGAAAAATAATTAATTCTGAATCATTAATTATTCCTCATCCCCGAGTACTTGAACGTTCTTTTGTTTTAAAACCTCTTCTTGAGTAAGTAATATATAATTAGAATAGTTATTCTTCTAATTGTAAAATAGTATATCAGGTGATCTTGTTCATCCCGTTACAGGGCTATCTATAGCTTCATATTTTGAAAAAATTGTTGATCACGATATTAAGCCAGTTTTGCCATTCTTATATAAAAATAAAAGTATAGATTTTAGTTTCAGATCTTATAAAGCGCCTACATATATTATGGCTATTTTGAATCTTACACCTGATTCTTTTTTTGATGGAGGTATTCATTCATATGATTCTGTATTAATAGATGTCGAAAAATTTATAAATGCAGGAGCAACAATAATTGATATTGGTGGACAGTCTACAAGACCAGGTTCGTATATTATACCTTTAGAAGAAGAAATTTTTCGAGTTATCCCTGCTATAAAATATCTTCAAAAAACGTACCCTGATATTTTAATAAGTATAGACACATTTCGTTCTGAAGTTGCAGAACAGGCAGTTAAGGCTGGTGCCAGTCTTGTTAATGATATAAGTGGTGGAAGATATGATCCAAAAATGTTTAATACTGTTGCTAGACTAAAGGTCCCAATATGTATAATGCATATGAGAGGCAATTTTTTAAATATGGATAACTTGACTGACTATGGTACTGATATTATAGAACAAATTACTATAGAATTAGAAAAACTACTTAATTCTGCTGAGAAATCTGGTATTCCTCGCTGGAATATTATTTTAGATCCTGGACTAGGATTTTCTAAAACACTTCATCAAAATATAGAATTATTAAGAAGATTTAATGAATTGAAGTCTAAAAATTGTTTTAATGGTCTTCCATGGTTACTTGGCCCAAGTCGTAAAAGATTTACTGGTTTTATTACTGGCGATAATATGCCAAAAGATAGAATTTGGGGCACAGTAGCTGCAGTTGTTGCTTCTATTTCAGGAGGTTGTGATATTATAAGGGTTCATGATGTTTATGAAATGTATAAGATTTCAAAGATGTCAGATGCTATTTGGAAAGAAATTTATTAAATTGTTTATTATTATGATTATTATGTTTCCTACTTGTAAATAGTCTTGCATATAATAATTTATTGTAATGTAATGTAATTTATTTTAATGTAATAAAAAATATTTTTTAGTCAAAATCGTAATTTATTACATTTCATAAATTATATTTAGATTAAATTTATAAATATAGGTTTAATTTTTAGGTAAAAAGTTTTAAAATATCTAAGTATTGTTATTTGTTTACCCTGAAATAGCATTTTGTTGATTATTTTATACAGGTTACTTTTTAAGAAGGATTTATATGATTTTTTTATGATTATATATTTGCTATGTTAAATGGAACACAGAGTATTTGTTCTAGAAAAATTCAAAATTGATTTTATTCATTAGAATTTATAGGATATGCAGCTGTCAATATAAAAAAACCTTTAAATAAGTTAAAACCGGGAAATGTTTTTGTCTCAAATGAGGAAGCATCAAGTTCACAACCCCCAGCGAGAAAAAAAACTCAATGGCCTGATTCATTGAAAGAATTTGTTGGAAGATGTTTTAAAAATTGTTCTGATAAAGATAGACCTTCTATAGAAAAGGAACTTAAAGAGATTATTACTAAAGCTTTTGAAGATGATACAGTTTTTTCTATTGATTGGGATAAAATTGAATTAAAGACTCTTAAAAAACAAAGGAAATATTCTAAGGAACATCTTCAAGGTAATAAAATGAATAAGTATAATTCTATTTTCTTAGGTATTTATTTTAAATTAAAAGAATTTAGAGTAAAAACTGAACCGTCTGATATTAATACTTTTAGAATATCAGAAGATGAACATCAGAAAAATAAGAGAATTAAAAGATTTGAGGAAATAAATACAGTTAAATCTTCTGATGAAATATTAAATGTTGACACAAATTTTAATCGCTTAGTATGTGTTTTATGTTTTTTTGGTTATTCTGATTTTATTAGGATGTGGTTGATTGGGATGAACATACTATAGTTGGGAGATCTCAACAGTTAGAAAAGAAATATTTACGTCTTACCTCAGCGCCTGATCCAGAAACAGTTCGACCCTTATCTGTATTAAAAAAGACGTTAGAATTTTTAAAAGCTAAATGGAAAGAAGAAAATAATTATATTTATATATGTGATCAGTTTAAATCATTGAGACAGGATCTTACTGTTCAGAGAATTAAAAATGATTTTACTGTAATGGTATATGAAATTCATGCTCGGATAGCTCTTGAGAAGGTTTGTTGTATGTATAGATATAAATAAATATTTATACCGTGTTTTAGGGTGATTTGGGGGAATATAATCAATGTCAAACACAAGTATATTTAGGAAAAATAATTTATGTTTATTAAATTATAAATAGCTTTTTTCATTATATAATTATAATCTTCCTGGTCATCCTGAAGAATTTTTAGCTTATCGTATTTTTTATCTTTTACATACACGGAATAAATCGGGTTTATTACTTTTTATATATTTGTTGATAAACTTAGTTTATTAGATATTCATGAAATACTTTTGAAGCTTACCGAGGAAGAAAAGAGAAATAAAGCCATAAAGCATGCTTTAGATGTAAGGAGTGCACTTGTAATGTCTAATTATCATTCGTTATTTAAATTATATTTGGATGCGCCAAATATGGGAGGTTATTTGATGGATTGTTTTGTTGAAAGAGAAAGGGTTATTGCTTTGTGTAAGATGTTTAAAGCGTGGGTTTTGTTTTTGAGATTATTATATTGTTTTAATGATAAAAGATATCGACCGAGTTTAAGTTTGAAATTTTTATGTCAAGAATTATCATTTGAAAATGAAACAGAGTGTTTTGAGTTTTTAATGATACGAAGTAATAAAGATATTTTCATGCAAGATGATAAAAGTAAATCTTTACATATTAATACTAAAGATGCTTTTGGATATTTTGAACAGGCTAGATTAAAAGACAAAGTTATTGACATTAAAGGTCAATTATGAGTTAAATTATATTTAATATTTTTCAGTTATAGAAATTGTAATTGTTCTTAGTCTAGCTTTTATTTCATGAAAATATTGAATATTTAATATACTTTTTTTTTATAATTAATTCTTTATGTTTTTTAATTTTTATATAAATAAAATCTGTCGATGAATTTTTGGTTTTAATGTTTTACCGATATATTTGAATATTAAAGTAAAAGATATATTTTCAAATAATTCCTGTAAAGTTATAGTTTATCAGAAGAAGGGTTATGATTAGGGTGATTTTATAACTATTAATTATTAATAACTAATATTTTAAGCTACGTAAAACACAAAAGACTACTAATCTTCAAAACTCAACTAACATTTCATCAAAATCATTAATTTCTATTGAACCTCCAAAAAATGTTATTAAGGCTCTTTATGATTATATCCCTCAGTCTTCAGTTGAGCTTGGATTCTCTAAGGGTGATTTTTTTTATCTGATAGGTAACGAAAATGATGAAAATTGGTATGAAGCATATAATCCTGCGACTAACGCACATGGCCTTGTTCCTGTTTCATATTTTCAGGTTTTAGGACGTAGTGAAAGAAATAATATAGATAAAAGTTCTGAAAAATTAAATGATGA